CCCAAGTCCGAAAGTGCCCGTACGCCTATGATCCTGAGCGTGCCAGAGAGCCCTTTCTTGAGAAGCCAATCACAGCGCAAGATTTGGTTCATCTTGACACAGCCAAAAAGTCACTGGTAATGCCTATGGTCAGGACCCCGGGGGTCAGGACACTTCCCTACTAGCAACTTCGAAAAAATCACGCCTAGCCTGCACCTGCAGAAACGAACAGATATTAGCTTGCGAAACAACACAGTACAGTGGCTGTCGTGCATCTAACCAAGAGCTCGCTGAAGCTGTAACCAAGAACCTTATGGTGAATGTATGACCTCTACTATTCTGGGAGCGTTGGGGAGGAAAGATTGCGTGACTGAGGAGGACTGTGAGTAAACTTGAGCTTCCAAAATAAAATACGGTAAGTACTCCAGGTCCTAAATTAAGTTGTTGTCAGTAAACCATATTATATTTTTTCGTTGAGGGATCCTTGCCCGAATATCATTCTTCCCTCTGAATTTTCAAAATCACCGCGCTTTCCCGGTCCAATCGCCTCGCGCCATTTGTTCCATTTGAGCGCGAGCAGCCTGGGTTTTCAAGATGGCGGAATGAAACGTGGAAAGGAGGCCGTAAAGTCTTATCTCAGAAATATATGTTTTGCCGCTGTGAGAAATACTCGGTTTGTGATGGAGTTATTTGAAGGATTAAGGCGAAGAAAGGGTGGCGTTAATGAAGGAAAAGATATAAAGAAAGAAGAGAAAACTAGAGACGAGAAGAACTTGAAGGACGCTGCAGCTGGGACTGTGGAACCCGGAACTTACTGGCTGACAAGAATCGTGTTTTTGAGATCTCTTGGATTCATTTATTGTAAGCTGTTAAAATAATTCTTGCGTTTTGTAGAATCAATTCTTTTCTGAGAAATAGCTTCAGGGTAGGCCATGCTATAAGCATAAGCATAAGTATAAGCATAAGAATATCAAAACCCTGCGTTCTTCTTATGCTTATGCTTATGCTTATGTTGCTATAGTGTCCAGTGAGGACATGCTGGCATAAGCATACACATAAGCATAAGCGTAAGACTATTAGCCAATCAGCGAGCACTTTATGCTTATGTCAACGATGTCCTCACAGAACATGCATAAGCATAAGAAGAAAGCTTATGCTTATGCTTATGTCGCAGCTGTCCTCACTAGCGCATAGGCTTCTTATGCTTATGTTTATGCTGATGCTTGTGTCTCAAGTGAGGACTGGCCTTTAAGCTTGACTTAAGCTTATAAATAAGACTAAACTCCTTTTGTAACAGCATATATGTAAGCATACCAAAAAGTCCTGCTCTGAAGAATTTCCCAATGTTTCTATTTGTGCACATAAAAAAAGTCATGTTTTGTTTTTGAAAATTGCCAAGATTCCATTTTATGAACTGTGAAGATATGAAACTACACTGTTATGTATACTGTCATACAATACTCTGTATCTGCACGCAAAAGAGACTCATCACCATCATCACTATGGGTGTACTCAAGGGAAGAAATGCTGGGCTACTGTGTATGTGCCATTGTTCAAGAAAATATCCATAGATCGTTTTCATAGTCACGCAATAAAAAATAAATCGAAAACCATTCAGTGGATAAAGTCAAGAAATTGTGATCTTATAGGAAATAGATAGAGAAGATAGAGAAGACACCTCTCCAAGTTTTAGGTTTCTGCTTTTTCCCAGACTGCAGATATTTGTCGAAATGCTTTGCAGAAATTTACAGAGCCCATAATGGAAACACCATGTTGGTGCACCTCTGTGGTGCACCAATATGGCGGCTGGAACAAATAGACATTTACATAAGCACTTTTCCTAGTGATCTAACTTCTAAAAAAGTTAAAAATCATGAGATAGGTATATAATTTTGACAAATGCGATTGTAGCTTTGTGTCACACACCACCATAACTCTGAAATTCAAAATATGCTGGTTTTCAAACAAAGCACACTACTGAGCTGTAACATTGTAAACAGATATAAATTTACCCCCTCTTATGCCTGATGGGGATAAAAACTTTGGTGGCTCTTTAGTTTTCGATTTTAGAAAATGATGACATCACATGAAAACAATCTATACCCATGGTTGTTGCTAAAATAGGCATCCCCCTCCCCAGGTTTTTTGGTCAGAATGCCCTCCCCACTGCTCAAGAAATTCCAGTTTAGCTTCACACTTTCCTTTAAAACTTTTGGCATTTGATAGCCAACTCCCTTAGAGCATTTTCTATGGACCAACCTAAATACCACAACTTCTCCCTCCATCAATGTCATTGTCACTGTCCTCAGTATGCTTTCCCATTGAGCATTCTGTCCTGCCTTACCTGTAGGCTTGAAAGGTTATATTCTCATGTACTGAGATGCCAACCTAAAAAATCAAAATAAAATGCAAATCAAAAGATCCTGGCCTCTAGTGACCTGTGACAGGGCTATTAATAGGGGCTGTAACCTGTAACACCTGTTCTGGCTGGGTACATGTATGCTTGATGGGCCTTTTAGGATGTTACGGGTGGACTTGCCTGTAGCTCATACAGCTTGCCTATAAAGTAACAGGTTTGTTATGGGTTTGAAGATCAGTACTACAGGTGAATCAAAACTTAACAACAGCCCTGTGCGATTTTTAATTGCAGTTGTGGCCTTTGCAGTAGCACTCAGTCAGAACAAACAGCTTTTAGGCAAAAATGGGCTTCTTCCATCAGACCTGTACCTGAAGAGATTAGAAGATCATTTTGATGAGGCCGGCTGGAGGAAAATTCTTCATGTTCCCACGGTGCTTCTTTTAACTGATAAAAACAAAATTGATGAGCATTTGGACATTTTGGCGTACACTGGGCTGTTATTTTCAGGAATTGTTGTACTCAGTGGATGTGGGAATATCATAATTATGGCATTGTTGTGGGTTTTATATCATTCTATTGTCAATGTAGGACAAAGATGGTAAGTGCAGATCAACTTACATTAATATGGTAACCATTGTGCTAATTTGCACCTGAGGAAAATAAAACAGGGAGGTATAAATGACCTGGGTTATTGCACCTCAAAAATACCCACGAAAACTCACATCAAGAACATATGCCCCCCGAAATACCTCACTGTTACCTTTTTTCCCTCTCTCTCCCACCCCTCCACCTATGTTTTTATATAAAAAAGAAACTTAGGGGGTAATGTCTTTAAAAATAGTCTTTTTTGGCTCAGATGCAGTGCTCAAATTTTCCTGCATTTTTAAAACATCACTTTGTGATGTAATCAATTCCACTTCTTCAGCTGCATACATGTAGCTTTTATTACAGTTTAGTAGATAAATTAAATGTTGGTAATATTTATAACCCTTGAGTTGCTATTTTTTATTTGTACATTTTCATCTTGTTTTATCTTACTTTGTTGTTTTTAGGTATTCATTTGGTGAGTAGTATTTATTTTCACATGTTCTTGTGGGTTTTATATGGTGTTATTAAATTTGCAACACTTAGTAACACGCCTGCTCTTCCCGTTTAACAAAATTTGTCAAAACATTCCAGATTAAAGGAGCTGATACTATTATTTAATATTTATTTTCTAATAGAAGAGAATTTGAGAAAGATATCAATTTAATTGTCATGAGCGACCAGAAAAAAATTATGTGAGTCCCCAATGAAAGTCTAATCACCCATGGTCTTCTACTCAACAAATTAAACCTAAATCTAAGAATGCTCTGGAGAATTTACCAATAAAAACTTGAAGTTTGAGTGATTGGCAGAAGTTCTTTGTTTCATAAATCAGGTTGACTGTTAACTTTATTGCTTAAATTTTTAGGTTGGGAGTCACAGCTTCTTGAGACAGGCTTTCTTGCAATATTTTTGTGTCCGGTGTTTAAACTGCGTCAAGTGCCTATTTACACACCAACACCTCTGGTTGTTGTTTGGGGATACAGATGGCTTATCTTCCGCATTATGATTGGTGCTGTAAGTTCTGTCATTTAATATTATAATTACTTAGAACCAAACACCTGCAATGCACCATGTTAAGGGCTATGAAGAACTCTACACGCATTGCGGACCTATTCTGCTTTGTTTTCTACATCTGGATGTCATGCCAATTGTAGAAGTACTGCTGTTAGTGCATGCTTTCTTGCACGGTGTTTTCTCAATGTTTTTTGCATAATCCACATAGGGTCTGATAAAGATAAGAGGTGATCAGTGTTGGCGAGACCTCACATGTATGAACTACCATTATGAGGTAATTGATCCTTATTTCAGACTAACAGTCTTCTGCGCTGTGCATTTTGTTTGATAAAATTAATGTTGTTAACAATGCTACTTCTTGTATCTTGAACTCCTGGCACCTTCCCTTTCCTTAGTGGCTCTACAACAACCATTTTATTTTGCATAATACATAGAATATCATTCAGCGAAAGAATACATTACACTTAAATAAGCAAAAAAAACTACTCAAAATAGTAAAAACTAAACGAGCTGAGTAGTTACAAGAATTATTATGCTTTAAATTGGTTGTAGGAAAAATAAAGAAAAGACGAGGTAGAAAATGGGCTCTAACCTATTTGTGCCTTAATCTCTGCCTTGAATTTTGTAATGTTGCAAACCATTTTCACATTTCTCCCACTTACCACCATTTTGGAAATTAATCCTGCTTCCAACCCTCTCCTCCCCCAGCTCCCAAAGACATGCCCCCTCTAGGCCAGTTCCCACCCAACTGACTCCTTCCCCAGCCCCTACAGTATAATGTGCAGTGTACATGTAACTTTATGAAAGATGCAACTAACTGTAAGTTCATTTCATTTTTTTTTTTAAATACTGATTTTTATATGCATTACAGACTCAGCCTGTACCCAATCCAATGAGTTATTTTATGCATCAGTCTCCAGAGGTCTTTCACAAGTTTGAAACACTGACAAATCATTTTATAGAGCTGGTGGTTCCATTTTTTATCCTCCTGACCAGACCATTTAGAATTTGGTGTGGAATTTTACAGATTCTTTTTCAGGTAAGCCTCTACCCTCCTCCATTTTAATAATAATTACTATTAATGTTTTTGAAATCCTGAGAAAAAGGAGGTTCTAAAAGCTAAGATTTTCAATGAGGTCTTAGAGCTGATTGGAATTTCCAGAGGGCTCAGGAATGAAACCAAAAAACCTTCCATGAGAGAGGTGTGGATATTTTATTGAGCTTTTTGTAACTAGATACTTAAACTATGGCCAAAAATAAGGTTTCCTCAGAAGTTCTTCTAGCTCATTAGCTGCCTTGTTGATTTAACAGGTTGTTTTGATAATCAGCGGTAACTTGAGTTTTCTGAACTGGCTGACGATTCTTCCCAGTCTTATGTGCTTTGATGACAAGAGCCTGGCATTCCTATTCTCATCATCCTCTGCTAAAAAGGAGGTGATCCACATACAGCAGCTTCCTAGGATTGGTGCTCCTGGATCAAAACCAACATGGGGTATTTGAATAGGCCATATTCATATTCTTGGTTTTGGACTGGAACTAGCTTGCAACTGAAGCTAATGCAGAGAGTCTTTTCAAATGCAAATCGCATTTATCTTTTTTTTAATTATGTCCCCCCGCATGAGGCTCCATTGCAAGCTAATTCCAGTCCAATACTGAAAATACAAATATGGCCTATTTGATTGTGTGTTTTTTTATGATAATTAAAATTCAAACACCAATACCATGATTATTTTACCTCAATAAACAGTTTATGTACACATTACACTGTACGTTACAAGGAGCTCCTGACATTACTTTGTTTTCAGTTACCAGTACTTTTTTCTATTGTTTATTTGTACCTTTTGTAATTTTGTTGTAAATTGTCATTACTTTTTTTTCTTTCCTTCCTTTTACTGTAAACTTTTGTCCCTGCCTGGATTAGTTCTGGAACTAGTTGCGAGGCCAAGCAACTGTAACTGTATGGCACAAGAAAACAATAAAATTAAAGTTCAGTTCAGTTCAACTATTCTAATTTTGCATGTTCTTTGCACTATACTGAGTTGAAATTAAGGTAGCATTTAGTCATGATCCAAAGCATTCAGAACTAAATATCCAAGCCATACAAGTGACATAGGAGGTATTATTATTAATTCACTGATTTGCTTTTTTCAACCAAGCTGTTCTTGGGGCCAAAGTGATAAAATTGTGCTTCATTGAAGGAAAAAATCAATCTCATTTCCAGGGTCTCTCATCTGACTGCCCTCCTAGCATGAGAGAGGACGGCTCTGGGGAAGACCCTGGGAACGAGGTTAGAAAAAAATATCACTACTGTACAGGTTACTTAAGTTCATTCCCCAGTATTGCACTGCACATAATTTCACGCGTGATTAGCGCGCGCATTAAAAAATGGCGGCTTTTTGTTTACAGCTGGACCTTACCATATAGGTAAATCGTCATTTTCTCACAAACGAGTATGGTGACCTATCACTTTTTTCTGTTGTTTTGAATTGAGTAATAAATTTCTCTGTGTAAAATAAATATGGACCAATTCTCAGTGAAGAACAANTTGTATTTGTTTAATACATGTAGCAGTTTCAAGATTATAAGACTATAAATTGTAAGCAAACCGTCAAATGTGACTTGAAAAAAATGGTTAAAACAGTCATGATCTTTTCGGAAAAATACCTTATTAAATAAACCTTCCAATTTATTTCATTACATTGGTGGATATTTAACATGGGCTTTCTTAAAATCTGACAAATTCTGTTTGCTCTTCCCAGCGTAACAAAAGAAAGGACCGAAGTGATATTTCAAGGAACAAGAAACTCGACCATTATACCAGATGAAGATGGAGGCATCTGGGAAGAATATCAGTTTAAGTGTAAACCTGGAGACCCCAAGAGGCGACCATGTGTTATTTCACCGTATCACTACCGACTGGATTGGCTCATGTGGTTTGCAGCTTTTCAGGTCAGTAAGAAAGGTTTATCCGTGGAAATAGATACTTCTACTTTTGTTGTTTCTGTTGTTGTTATTTTCTTTTAATACTGGGATTTGTCGAATCTGCGAAAAGAGATTCTCAAAATAGCCAAGCCGAGTAAACTAAAGATTCGAGGGATATAGATTTGCCGAGAAGCCTGCCAGACGCTCGTTCAATGCGTTCATATCGTTTTTCCATCCATCCTATATCTACGCTCGATTACCAGCCGCTGGAGCCCGCGCTCCTTCCCCGAACCGGTCTCGAGGGAGCGGCGGAAATGGAATCGAAATCGAATTGAAATGGTGCAGCGGTGAGAACGCTCGCCTTCTATAAATGTGGCCTGGGTTTGATCTAATTACAATACCCGGTGTCATGAAAACTCTTCCTTGTGTTGTGGGCTGATGAAAATTGCATTTACATTTTACAATCAAGCAGCAATAGGTGCATCCCTTTGTAAATTATGCGAGACAGTCAATGGACTTAGTAGTGAATTTTGCCGTAGTGAAGACCTTCGCTTACTTGCGAGTCTCTAGTCCCTCTTAACTATCCTTGAAAAAGGAAGTTTTTGAGTTTAAGCTCAATTGTCTTGCTATTTCTTCTCTTGTGAGTCGTAATTTCAAGAAACCGTTTTACTGACGATGAACTATTTTCAGAATTACCAGTACAATCCCTGGTTGATTCACTTGGCAGCTAAACTTCTTGTTAACGATGAACAAGCTACTTCACTGATAGCACACAACCCATTCTTTAACGCTACGCCTCCCACGTAAGTATACTTCATTCATCCTACACACAGACCCAATACAGAGATACAGGATTGCTTGTGAAATCAGTTTTGTTAGTTTGCATGATAACCTTTTGTCCTTCCTGCTCCTAGAGTACTGGTGCGTCCAACGCCTTTCTGTTCAAGATGTAAATCCCGTAAGCAGACTCAAGCCTTTCCGTAGAATAAAGCGGCTACACGGACCATAATCCATCCCCTCCCCCGCCTCCCTGCCGCTTAAGCATTTTGTCAGTTTCCCAAAACGTATTTGATACCCATTTACATCCTCTTGGTTGGAGTGAGCTCCTGGGAAATTAAGGTCTCTGGCCCAAGAATTCAGCACAATCACCCCGATGCTGGGCTGAACGCACCAACCATTAGACGACGCCAGCTCCCGCCTTACTCTTGTTTTAATTTGATTTATAAACCTTTTTTTTTCCTTTGTGTTTTTTTTATTAGCTTCATTCGTGGCGAACATTACCTCTATAAGTTTACAATGATTGGCAGCCAAGAAGCAAGGGCCGGGTATTGGTGGAAACGCACCAGAATTGGATCTTATTTTCCACCTATCACGTTACGAGCCGTCAGAGATTACCTGGAATCACACGGATGGAAAGTGCCAAGACTCAAGAAGACAGTCTATAATATGTGACAGCTCTAAGATTAAATACTCTTGTACGCGCTTAAAGTTAAGCCAGTCAAACTGGTTAATATATTTATCAGAAGGCGTGAAAATGGAGTTTGTTCTACGAAGTCAGATTTCCACTACATTCTATAGCCTAATTTACACACTACGATTTCTCGCCCGATTTTTGGGGTACAATAAAGGCCCTAGCCTGTGTCACAGCCGCCTCTCAAGCTCCCGATAAAGAGGAGAGTGAATCGGCGCTTCTTAAAGGTTCTCGACTCCAATCTAACACGTCGGTGGATTAGGAAAAAATTGTCCGCACAGATTGCAGCGCGTCGAGCTAAGTTTGTGAAAGAAAACGCCACGCGCGAGCAAATTACATCTGCACGGATTTCATTACATTTAAAGTAACTCGTCTACGTCGCTTTAAAGATGATTCGCATTACGATTATGGTTGCCAACAAATCAAGCCGACAATTCGTCATGTGTCAGTTTACCAGACAACCTCCCCCCACCCCCCCACCCTCCATCTCTAACCTACTCATCAACCCTCCCAGCCTTCCCACTCAATGGCAAACTATGATTAAGGTTAGAAGAAGCGCTGCGTTTAGATCGAACGTTTTGCACGTACCCAATTATATTACAAATAACACGGAAAAGATTGACTTGCGCCCAGGTAATATAACGAGCGTAAGTTGGATATCTTTCCGCCCTCGCGCACCGGGCGGCCTAGCCTGCATCTTTCTTGTTTTTGGCTCTCGCCTCATTTTCCGCTCAGGCAAAATACCTAAAATCCCGTTCCTCGGTCTTTCTTTGCTCCCAAACCCACGGAAATGCTTGCTACGCAGGCTACGGGCGCCCCATTGAATGATTTAACAGTTGGATAAAAGCTACGGGCTACGGGCTACGGGCTACGGGCCACGGGCCACGGCAGTTAATCATCACCCTGTGATAAGCCGTTGAATATTCTTAAGAAGACTAAGAAGGAAGAAGAACATTTAGGAGTTGTTTCTTACTTATTTCTGACTTACTTGCTTGTTTCTTACTTGTTATTATTACTATAAAACGCGAGAGATCTGGGTTAAATCGTAAGGCATGAGTGGGTTTCCTGTGAGGTCCAGCACAGGACCTCGTAATCAAAATGGCTGCCGTGTTTGGTATTAGCCGAGTTCTCTCAAGAGCAAAAGGTACGTAGTGTATATTTATTTAAAAGTATAGGGCTTTTTGTTTAATTTTAAATGAGAATTTATTAAGTTTGATCAAACCAAGCGCTCTGACAGGTTATGGTGGTATGGACCTCACGGAGAGATTTCAGTCGCTGTAGATTTGTTCAGAACTTATATTCTTTTTAAGAAGTGTATGCTGTGAAATGAAGAACGAGATAGGGGCCATGCTTAAGAGTTGTCTTTACGAAGTACTCTTTCTACACTGTATTTCAGACGTCTTTGCTCATCCATGGTGCATTATTTTTATAGACAATTTTTTGCTGGGGGGATCGGATTTATTTTCACCAGGTAGTTAACGTCCCATGGAGTTGGGTGGGGGATAAGAAGAGGTGCATAGGATCTTTAGGCTTAAAACTTGGAATAATTATAGGTCCTTTGCAGCTGGGATCACGTGACCAAAGTGTTGCTAAAACAATTTTATATTGTGGGCAATAACTTAAAGAATGCTAGAGATGGAAAGAGCATATTGGAAATACCGAAATGGCCAAGTTTGAGGCCCCTAGCATGTAAGAGTAAGTTTTTTCATGACAGTTTGAATTTGTGGAAAATTTAGGGGATATCTATGGAAAATGTTGTTGGAGAGCAAGGTCTTGCTCTCCAACAACTTTTTCCATACAAATCTTTTTAATTTGTTAAAAATTCAAACTGTCATAAAAATATTTCTTTAATACCAGGGGGCTCAAGCTTGACCATGTTGATATTTTCGACATGCTTGATTTAAATAAAGGTGTCCATCTATCTATCTAATTTCCTTTTCTGGCATTCTTTAACCCACTGACCCTGACCTGTGGTGGCCGTAACTGGCTGTGACGAGTGCTGGCCTTTGTTTTACTTCTGACTTTATCACCCTTGACCAAAATTGGCATCACTTATACTCAAGTTCTGCAGGAGGAAAAGATCTTTCCAGTGATACCCGGCTTGCACTGATTAGGTCATTTGAGCCTGAAAAAGCACAGAAATGCTCAGAAATTGGAGTGAAANAGTAACTGATAAAATAAACCGTCCACAATATTGAGAACGACAGATAACATATCAAGGAAATGTGATCATAACTAATGCTCCTAAAGCCTATATCTTCAGGCTTATACTAACTTTCATACCATTCCATAGAAAATACAACCAATTGGAATACATTAAAGCTGTTCTATAGTCGATGGTATCTGTTTTGGCTACGTGTGTTGTCACAGTCTGATTAATGGAATTTTTTGCGCCTCAAAATGCGTGGTTATCTTTCATTGTATTTGTTTAATACATGTAGCAGTTTCAAGATTATAAGACTATAAATTGTAAGCAAACCGTCAAATGTGACTTGAAAAAAATGGTTAAAACAGTCATGATCTTTTCGGAAAAATACCTTATTAAATAAACCTTCCAATTTATTTCATTACATTGGTGGATATTTAACATGGGCTTTCTTAAAATCTGACAAATTCTGTTTGCTCTTCCCAGCGTAACAAAAGAAAGGACCGAAGTGATATTTCAAGGAACAAGAAACTCGACCATTATACCAGATGAAGATGGAGGCATCTGGGAAGAATATCAGTTTAAGTGTAAACCTGGAGACCCCAAGAGGCGACCATGTGTTATTTCACCGTATCACTACCGACTGGATTGGCTCATGTGGTTTGCAGCTTTTCAGGTCAGTAAGAAAGGTTTATCCGTGGAAATAGATACTTCTACTTTTGTTGTTTCTGTTGTTGTTATTTTCTTTTAATACTGGGATTTGTCGAATCTGCGAAAAGAGATTCTCAAAATAGCCAAGCCGAGTAAACTAAAGATTCGAGGGATATAGATTTGCCGAGAAGCCTGCCAGACGCTCGTTCAATGCGTTCATATCGTTTTTCCATCCATCCTATATCTACGCTCGATTACCAGCCGCTGGAGCCCGCGCTCCTTCCCCGAACCGGTCTCGAGGGAGCGGCGGAAATGGAATCGAAATCGAATTGAAATGGTGCAGCGGTGAGAACGCTCGCCTTCTATAAATGTGGCCTGGGTTTGATCTAATTACAATACCCGGTGTCATGAAAACTCTTCCTTGTGTTGTGGGCTGATGAAAATTGCATTTACATTTTACAATCAAGCAGCAATAGGTGCATCCCTTTGTAAATTATGCGAGACAGTCAATGGACTTAGTAGTGAATTTTGCCGTAGTGAAGACCTTCGCTTACTTGCGAGTCTCTAGTCCCTCTTAACTATCCTTGAAAAAGGAAGTTTTTGAGTTTAAGCTCAATTGTCTTGCTATTTCTTCTCTTGTGAGTCGTAATTTCAAGAAACCGTTTTACTGACGATGAACTATTTTCAGAATTACCAGTACAATCCCTGGTTGATTCACTTGGCAGCTAAACTTCTTGTTAACGATGAACAAGCTACTTCACTGATAGCACACAACCCATTCTTTAACGCTACGCCTCCCACGTAAGTATACTTCATTCATCCTACACACAGACCCAATACAGAGATACAGGATTGCTTGTGAAATCAGTTTTGTTAGTTTGCATGATAACCTTTTGTCCTTCCTGCTCCTAGAGTACTGGTGCGTCCAACGCCTTTCTGTTCAAGATGTAAATCCCGTAAGCAGACTCAAGCCTTTCCGTAGAATAAAGCGGCTACACGGACCATAATCCATCCCCTCCCCCGCCTCCCTGCCGCTTAAGCATTTTGTCAGTTTCCCAAAACGTATTTGATACCCATTTACATCCTCTTGGTTGGAGTGAGCTCCTGGGAAATTAAGGTCTCTGGCCCAAGAATTCAGCACAATCACCCCGATGCTGGGCTGAACGCACCAACCATTAGACGACGCCAGCTCCCGCCTTACTCTTGTTTTAATTTGATTTATAAACCTTTTTTTTTCCTTTGTGTTTTTTTTATTAGCTTCATTCGTGGCGAACATTACCTCTATAAGTTTACAATGATTGGCAGCCAAGAAGCAAGGGCCGGGTATTGGTGGAAACGCACCAGAATTGGATCTTATTTTCCACCTATCACGTTACGAGCCGTCAGAGATTACCTGGAATCACACGGATGGAAAGTGCCAAGACTCAAGAAGACAGTCTATAATATGTGACAGCTCTAAGATTAAATACTCTTGTACGCGCTTAAAGTTAAGCCAGTCAAACTGGTTAATATATTTATCAGAAGGCGTGAAAATGGAGTTTGTTCTACGAAGTCAGATTTCCACTACATTCTATAGCCTAATTTACACACTACGATTTCTCGCCCGATTTTTGGGGTACAATAAAGGCCCTAGCCTGTGTCACAGCCGCCTCTCAAGCTCCCGATAAAGAGGAGAGTGAATCGGCGCTTCTTAAAGGTTCTCGACTCCAATCTAACACGTCGGTGGATTAGGAAAAAATTGTCCGCACAGATTGCAGCGCGTCGAGCTAAGTTTGTGAAAGAAAACGCCACGCGCGAGCAAATTACATCTGCACGGATTTCATTACATTTAAAGTAACTCGTCTACGTCGCTTTAAAGATGATTCGCATTACGATTATGGTTGCCAACAAATCAAGCCGACAATTCGTCATGTGTCAGTTTACCAGACAACCTCCCCCCACCCCCCCACCCTCCATCTCTAACCTACTCATCAACCCTCCCAGCCTTCCCACTCAATGGCAAACTATGATTAAGGTTAGAAGAAGCGCTGCGTTTAGATCGAACGTTTTGCACGTACCCAATTATATTACAAATAACACGGAAAAGATTGACTTGCGCCCAGGTAATATAACGAGCGTAAGTTGGATATCTTTCCGCCCTCGCGCACCGGGCGGCCTAGCCTGCATCTTTCTTGTTTTTGGCTCTCGCCTCATTTTCCGCTCAGGCAAAATACCTAAAATCCCGTTCCTCGGTCTTTCTTTGCTCCCAAACCCACGGAAATGCTTGCTACGCAGGCTACGGGCGCCCCATTGAATGATTTAACAGTTGGATAAAAGCTACGGGCTACGGGCTACGGGCTACGGGCCACGGGCCACGGCAGTTAATCATCACCCTGTGATAAGCCGTTGAATATTCTTAAGAAGACTAAGAAGGAAGAAGAACATTTAGGAGTTGTTTCTTACTTATTTCTGACTTACTTGCTTGTTTCTTACTTGTTATTATTACTATAAAACGCGAGAGATCTGGGTTAAATCGTAAGGCATGAGTGGGTTTCCTGTGAGGTCCAGCACAGGACCTCGTAATCAAAATGGCTGCCGTGTTTGGTATTAGCCGAGTTCTCTCAAGAGCAAAAGGTACGTAGTGTATATTTATTTAAAAGTATAGGACTTTTTGTTTAATTTTAAATGAGAATTTATTAAGTTTGATCAAACCAAGCGCTCTGACAGGTTATGGTGGTATGGACCTCACGGAGAGATTTCAGTCGCTGTAGATTTGTTCAGAACTTATATTCTTTTTAAGAAGTGTATGCTGTGAAATGAAGAACGAGATAGGGGCCATGCTTAAGAGTTGTCTTTACGAAGTACTCTTTCTACACTGTATTTCAGACGTCTTTGCTCATCCATGGTGCATTATTTTTATAGACAATTTTTTGCTGGGGGGATCGGATTTATTTTCACCAGGTAGTTAACGTCCCATGGAGTTGGGTGGGGGATAAGAAGAGGTGCATAGGATCTTTAGGCTTAAAACTTGGAATAATTATAGGTCCTTTGCAGCTGGGATCACGTGACCAAAGTGTTGCTAAAACAATTTTATATTGTGGGCAATAACTTAAAGAATGCTAGAGATGGAAAGAGCATATTGGAAATACCGAAATGGCCAAGTTTGAGGCCCCTAGCATGTAAGAGTAAGTTTTTTCATGACAGTTTGAATTTGTGGAAAATTTAGGGGATATCTATGGAAAATGTTGTTGGAGAGCAAGGTCTTGCTCTCCAACAACTTTTTCCATACAAATCTTTTTAATTTGTTAAAAATTCAAACTGTCATAAAAATATTTCTTTAATACCAGGGAGCTCAAGCTTGACCATGTTGATATTTTCGACATGCTTGATTTAAATAAAGGTGTCCATCTATCTATCTAATTTCCTTTTCTGGCATTCTTTAACCCACTGACCCTGACCTGTGGTGGCCGTAACTGGCTGTGACGAGTGCTGGCCTTTGTTTTACTTCTGACTTTATCACCCTTGACCAAAATTGGCATCACTTATACTCAAGTTCTGCAGGAGGAAAAGATCTTTCCAGTGATACCCGGCTTGCACTGATTAGGTCATTTGAGCCTGAAAAAGCACAGAAATGCTCAGAAATTGGAGTGAAAAACTTGGAGCAAAACTTTCCCCCTACTACAGTTGGCTACTCTGTGGTAAGAATATTCCATCCCTATGATGCTTTCTCTGAAATTCTTGGACTGGAAGCAAGCCCAGAAGAAGGTCAACAACTGCAGCAAAAAGATAAGGAATGGAGAAAAAGGAAAGGCAAAATCTTACTATTCCTATCACTGCTGGCTTTCTTAGACTTTGAGATAGCAGAGAAGGGGTTGCAGGTGGGGGGGGGNGGGCAGAAAGTGGCAGAAGAAATCAACTGGGAAATTGTTGTAATGCATCAAATACAAAAGACAGAATTACCTTTTAAAGAACTAATTTTCATCATCCACTTTGCATTACTTAATTACAGTGATATGCCCAGAAAAGGAAATAAGAACACTGCTTACATTTGGACATCTTAGAAGATGTATGTCCTCACTTGTAAATGTTGAAAAGCAAGGGAGCATAGCCATTTTGGAGCTCAACAGAAAACCTGTCAACAGCTTCAGTATGGAGTTTTTACAAGAAATCAACTCTAACCTGAATGAGTTAGAAAATGACCAAGATTGTCAAGGACTCATTATCACTTCAGTATGTCAATAATTAACTGTGCCTGTGAAGCTGCTCAGACCTAAATCAGCAGAAATTATTAACTCTATATAATGAATTTAACCCATTGACTCCTGTGCTGGCCGTAACCGGCCGTGACAAACCTTGGCCTTTCTTCCACTTGACCAAACTTCTGCAGGAGGAAAAGATCTTTTCAATGATCCCCAGATCATAGTGATCGGTCCGATGGAGCCTGAGATATGCACAAAAATGCTCAAAAAGTTGAGTGAAAAACTCAGAGCAAAATTTCCTGCCCCTACACGCGGCTACTCCATGGCAAAAATTGCCTGTCTCAATGATGCTTTCTCAGAATGTTTCAAACTGGAAGCAAGTCACTGCAGCAAAAAGAAAAGAAAAGGACAAAAAGGAAAGGTGGAAAAAAAAAATGAAAAAATCAAAAAGCCTAAAGACGTAGGTCACTATCTCAAAATTTTGATTTCTGCGCATGCCTGAGCGAAAATGTTGTAAAACACGATGCTAGTGGAAAGAAAGGCATGCTATCATGTTGCAAATGCCTTTTTGAGTAGATTGGAGCTAATTTGGCCCATATCCAGCCTGAAAATCTCCAAAATGTCCAAAAAAAGTGTTTTTGGCAAAAAGCTCCAGGAGTCAATGGGTTAAGGAAGTATGAACTTTCGTTCATCTGTTAAGCAATGTATATGGCCGATGTAGACAGGATACTTATTTTCTCTAAGCAAAATTAAAGTTTAATTGTGGGATTAAACAAACCTTAAAATTAGTTCTTATGGTACATAAAAATAACACTATATGACTTAGTTGCTGCCTCAAGATCAAATTATGTAACATACTAGATAGTTTATGGGGTATGCTGAATCAAACTGATTTTCAGCTATTTGAGAAGAGTTGTCCAGCATATATAAGCAATAGCCTCCATTTGGCGTGGACGTTATCTGTTCCAAGAAGCCAACAGTTTTCGAAGAGTATAACTCAAGAAAAACTGTGAGCTTTGAGGAACAGGTAATGTCCATGGACAAATATCCAAGCATATTTTTGCACCAAATGAAGGCTATTGTGTTTATTATTCTTCATATATTTTTTGTAACATGCGTGGTTTTGAAAATTGGGGAACATCACTTGGATATTCCCCATTTTTAGCTGGAGAATATTCAGTCACATGACTTGTTTAGACCAATCCGCACATGAGCTTATATGGGTAATGCTACAGCTGTAGCTAGTTTAACATCAATTGTTAGATTGAACTCTTTGTGTAATTCCAGCACAAAGGAAAGAGAAAGTATGAGTCACAAATAAATTTATTTGTGTTTCTCTTTCTTTGATTATGGAGCACTTTCAATGAAGCCATCATAGTAAACCAGCACTACTTATAGAACCGTAACATTCAAGCATTGTTGCATATCCTGCACTTTTACATTTCTGTGGGACAGCTTCTCACAAAACAGCTGTTTGTTCATTCTTTTGCTTTGTTAGTTTGGTACATGTGGTTGAATGAAACTGCATTAAGTCGAAACCTACGGAGGGCCTTCACCATTAGACTGCGCTCTCCTGATTTATTCGCTCAGGCTCGGAAAAGTGTTTATTCCTGCAAAGTGGAATGTAATATGGGAAAGTTGATAATGACTCTTGTTGTGTTAAATCCCTTGCCCCATCTCTCCTCCTGATTTTCATGAGAAAACAGTTTCATTTATAGCAGTTTCCTTCATAGTTCAGTGTGAGAACAGAAAACTTGACGTGTACATGTGATTAGATTTAAAATTGTGAAGAGCACGTCAGCTTTAGTTATTGAATTAAATTTGATTGGGATTTTCACTTTTGGATTTTAATGGTTGATAAAATTTGATATTTTATTTTTATTTCTGGAATCAGGGCCTTCCAAAAGTGTTCTCTGCTGGTCTAGACCTTGTGAAAGAAGTTTATCAGCCAGATGTGAAGCGTCTTGCTTCTTTTTGGAGCTGTTTCCAGGAAATGTGGCTCCGCCTCTATGGCTCAAGACTAGCCACCATGGCAGCTATAAATGTAACAGTGCCATTCTGTCAACTTTTGATTTTTAACATTAATTTTGTCTGTTTTAACAGTGTAAATACCCCATAGAGCCCCCCTCTCTAACACTCCCCCACAACTTTTTTGGGGAAGGAATTTATTATTAAGGCCTGCCTCTCTTTAGAACCCCCCTCCCCTTAGTGAAATGTGGTCATCGGACATTGCCTGACCAAATTTGCATAATTATTCAACTAATTTTAAATTATGATCAACATCATAACCGAGCACTAGCTAGCTTTAGTTGTGAAGATCTTGTTTGCAGACCATGTTTGCTTTGAAACATCATACAGATCCATGGCTTGCGTTCCTTTATACATGAAGCCTCTCCGGTGAGACTTGCATAAAACGTGACATGAACATTTCACATACATTACTGTCTTGCGACCTTTGGGAGAAATATCCGTTACTTTTACTTGCATGTGCTCAGTAACAATACTGATTTGGAGTAAAACATTATCGCTGTATTCATTGAAGTATGGCACACAAAAAAAAGAGACTAGAGGTAGCCTGATAACTGAGTGGTGTTTTGCTAAACTCAAAGCCCTCCTTCCCCTCTCTTGGTGTTGTGCATTCTAGGGCCTTCTATCAATTCATAACCAATCAGATTGAGTTTACTAATACATGTAGTCAATCACAGCATAATTTCACTGTTTCTTTGATTCATACCAGTTTTGTTTCAGTCACAATAATTTGCTAGTGTTTAAATTAATTAATACATTGTTGTCATTATAGGGACATGCCCTAGCAGGAGGCTGTGTAGTGGGTTTGGCATGTGATTATCGTGTCATGGCTGAGGAATTTCGAATTGGAATGATAGAGATTGAGGCAGTAAGTTCTGTTAAATGGTGAAGGAAAAGTTTTGATTAGAGATGACTATTGCTTTGTACCTTGAAACAATGAGAATATAATCCCCATCTTAGGTACAAGACTCCCTCATACAGACAAAATGAATGATTCTGATGATTTAACAGTTCACAGATTTTGTACTATTCACCTTGAGATATTTTATTTGAAATCCTAATCTAGCAAAAGCCCAAATTGTTAATATTTCCTATTTATTTTTATAGGGCCTCCCACCACCATTTTGGTAAGTGAGTACTGGTACTTTTAAGATAAACCTCAGCTAGATTAGCTAGCAATGTGCAGTGATTAATCCACTGAAATTATTAGTTGTCTTTGCATGCAATTAAGGCTTGTGTAGCTGGGGTTTTTGTGGTCGGTCAGTCAGTGGGTGCATCACTGGGTTGGTCGGTCAGTGGGTTGGTCAGTCAGTGGCTCGGTCGGTTACCCTGGTAAAAATCTTTCAAGGATCCTTGAGGATGTTCATGAGGATCTAACTAAGGATCTCAATCAAAATCCTGAAAAACTCCATAGCCAAGATCTTTAAGGATCTTTAAAGAATTTGGCACAAAGATCCTGGAGTGTCCTTGCGCAGAGTTTTGCAAGATCTTTTATTTAAGGCCGCCGCACACTTGTCGGTTAGTGTGCGGTGAATTCAGACAAGTCTGCGACAAGATCGGGACTTTTTTTTGTTGTTTTTTTGGACTTGTCAAGCGATATCTGACAGTGCTAGATCTCAAAACGTCTTGTCGGGCTATTGTGCGGTGGACCAAGACAATTTGTTGGGGCTCGCACGTGCCTCAACCAATCACGTCAGTGGAATAGGCGCCATCTTGATTTTGGATGACTCGGCCCCAAGCCTCAACGCAGTTAGTCATGACAAAAAATCGGCTAGTGTGCGGCAGGCACACTAGCCTGAGTGTGCGGCAAGCTGATGACCCGACAAATTTTAACCCGATTTGACCTCAACAAAAAATCTGCAGTTCTACGACAAAAAATCGGCTAGTGTGCGGCAGCCTTTAATGATCTCTGCAAGATCTTGGACAGAAAGGTCCTTATCTTATAAACATGTAAGGATCTTTAGAAGATCTTTTAAGACCTTGTAAGACCCTGAGAGAGCATGTAAGGTTATTCATCAGAGTGATTGTTTAGTTGGTTTTTTTGTTGTTCCTAGTTGAAATACTGTGATGACAAAATCCTTTCCCATACTCCTATCTTCAATGTGTATTGGAACTGTCATATCTAGCAAGTGTTTTGATTGTGTTTGTTGTTGTCGGTGTTGCTTAGGATGCTCCATATCTTTACGTTAAACTTTTTACCTTTATTTTCCAGGGTTGCTGGCAATATGGCAAATGTTGTTGGGCAAAGTAATGCAGAGCAGGCAATTCTGAGTAACCAGAGATATTCTGCTGAGGAAGCCTTATCCATCGGCTTGGTGGACAAAGTTTTGCCAAAAGATAAAGTCATGGAAGAGACAAAATCAGAAATGGAGAAATGGGTCATGTATTCTGGTAGGAGATGAGAATTCATTATGTTTGGGTGCAAGGTGTTTTGAGATGAGTTGAGAAACTTTGAGTGGCACTTGCAGTAACTGTTGTGAACTGACTTTTTGGTTGCTCTGTAGACTGCGAGCAGTCTCTCTTTTCCTCGAAAATCCGTCGGGAGGAACACAAAACAAGTAAGCGTTCGAGCGTGACTGTGAGAGTGACGCTCACAGTCCGTGACTGTGAGAGTGACGCTCACAGTCACGCTCGCACGCTTATTTGTTTTGAGTTCTTCCTCACGGATTTTCGAGGAAAAGAGAGACTGCTCCCCGTCTAGTTCCTCTTATGAAATTGGTATCAATGATAAAACGCTTATTACTAGGTGAGGGCTGGCCGGCTACAAAATATTTTGCAATTTCAGCAAGATCTCAATCCATAAGCTATGACCTCAAACCAAATTTTTCTCTGTCTAGCTCTCCCCCAGCTCAGGTAACAAGCTCTAAGTTTTAGCCAGAAAAAAAAAAACCTCTTACTAACCTGGCCTTCTCGGTCCGTACCGTAAGTTACGGACCGAGTTTTCCCCCCTTCAATTTATGGCCTAAGCGAGAAGCGCGCGGGCCATAAATCGAAAGGGAAAAAAACGAGGATCCGTAACTTACATTACGGACCGAGAATACGATGTTAGTAAGATATTTATTACATCTTTACAGTTTGTCTGACGGGTTCAGGAACGACTTCCATTCACGCGGAACGGCTTCAAATTTCTGTCGCACCTCGTAGCGCGTTTTAATACACAATTTAAAGTAAAAGAAAGTTTTAAACTTTACTTACTGTAAAAGTTAAGAACACTTGACAATAAATCACGAAACATTTTGGCTACAAAAAAAGCTTCAAATTTTAGCGGGCCGTACAGTAGAATACGGCTCGCTAAATTGACCAATCACAGCGCGCGTAGGAACTGAGAGATATTATCAATTATTTTAAGAATGATCAACATTTATTTTCTCCTCCTAATATCCATACATTGTCATGCAGAAGGTAATGAGAATAGCGAAAATGATCAAATAAAGGAATGCGGTTGTCTTGATGAAACTCTAAATTCGTCGAACCGTGACACAACCAGTAAGGAGAATTCGTATTTCAATCTTTGGAACTGAAATCTTCTTGATTGACGTCTTTCTTTTTTTTTCCTGCAGGAAGGGCCAGAGAATTAACGAAAAAGATCATGCGCAAACAGTTTATTGAGGCGTTGGAGGATACGAGGGAAGAGGACATCAAGAACTTTGTTGATTGCATTCTCGATGAAGATGTACAGAAAGCAATTGGAATGCAAATCGAAAAACTCTCCAAAAAGTAATAGATAAGGCAAAACATGCAAGTGAAATTTGCGAATTTTGGTACTTATAACAGTCTTATGCAATTTACAACAATCTAATTTGGCACAGGTAATCGTATGAATGCGACTGCAATTAAGGATTTATACTACTCATGATATTTGAAAATTCTCTCAAATTTGCATTCGCCTGAAGGCGAGTGCAAGTTGAAAGAATTTTCAAATATCACGAGCAGTGAAAATCCTTAATTGCTCGAGCTGTCACACGATTACTCATTTATTATTTGAGTGAGAAAAGTGCGAAGGCGTGAGCGTTAATTTGCGCTGCAGTGCAAATTTAAAATTAACGGTAAATTGGTCTGCCCTCAGCCAATCACAATGAAGTAATTTTCTCAGTCATATAATAAACGCCATAATCTACTTACTGTGTGAGCTTTGATGCTCTGTTTTATTTACGTTTCACTCTGCAGGTTTAATTTGGATGGTTTTATATACAAAGCAGCTATTATGAAACAAGACGTTTATAAGGAAGTTTAAAACTGCGCTGTAAAATTTAAAAGTAAATTACCTTGAATCGATAGAAATCAGTTCTTCAGGCAAAACCAGAAGAAGCAACTGCATGCATTTTTTTGTGAAATGTTAGTCGAGGGAACAGGCAAAAACCTTGTCTTATTCACCTCAAAATTAATCTCATAGAAGTGACGGGAGCGCTGATTAAAAACACTGACGTTTATAATTCTTTTGTCATCCTTGCTTTTTTTGAAACCATGGTGATCATCACAGAGCTCGTGACGTCACGGGATTCATCGCTGAATTTCGAAAAGAAAATCAGTTCAATAAGAACTAAAGTTTTCAGTCTGTTCGATCCGGAGTCCAGCGCGCCAACCATGAGACCACCGTGCAGTCCACAGAAGCAACTATGGTGCATCTTAAGGACGGTGCCTACTTTTGTTAGTGCGCACACGTTCTGCGCATCACGCAAGGCACGGTTAAAGTGGCACGCGCGCGCTGGGGTTGACAGTGACGCAACCAACTACGATACCAAGGACACGACTAAAAAGAACGCAAAACTTTTCTATTCTGAGCAAGTTTAATGAGCCTGTACTTAAATCAGGAACACCGGAATAGCAGCATATCGCTAACCACTAACTGTTAACGTCTTTCAGCTGAAAAACTAGCTGTTATCTGTCGAAATTATACTAAAATCCAAAAGTAAACATGTACCTGCAGATGGCGTAGTGCGCGCGCGAGATACGCAAATGTTTTACTTACTGGGGAGGTGACTGGAAAAAATGTAACGGGCATCGTAAAAGTTTTCCAAAAAGATCAATAACTTTAAAAAACGCGTGGTTGCCTCTACATTTTACGTCATAAAATGGATGTGGTAAGCCCCCTGCACCCTCCCCTTAGATACGCCCCTGAAGGTTAGAGGGGCCACAGTACCATTCTGTAACGGCAATCTCGTTATAATTTACTTTTTAATATGCAAAAAATTACGACCTTTACAATTACTCTCTATTTCTTGTTACAAAAGGCGTATTACTCCGTCGTTAAACAATCTACATTCGCTAGAAAAATTCGGAGCTATTTTTTCTGTTTCCAGCGAGGATTAAATACTATTTGAATGTTATTCTACGCACTGGCGTAACGTCTAACTGTGGATGCATACCCTTGTCCGCAAATGGACCGAGCCCGCGAGTTTCCTCAGAGGACGGTTGTGTAGCAACAATCGTATTTGTTGTGTGGTACAAATAGGAAACTAATTTGGCGAAAATTTCGTGGCTCTTTGCTTGTTCTTAGATTTAGGAGCAGTTAGCTTAATATTTACCAAATTTTAACTTAAGAACCACCACAATTTAAGGTGTTTATTTAATGTACTTAAAGAATCGTATATGAAAGAGATGAGGAACTACAATAAAAGCATAGCTGCTCCGACAAACGAAATAAGGCTCCACCTTTTGAATACATCGTAACAAAACGTTTTGTACTTTTAGTTAAGGTCGCGCAAAGCTACTTTATAAACTGAATATGATAATTATATTCTACTTTATCTTGTACAGCTACTGCAAAACTCCACTGTAAAATGTTACTGACTCAGCACTCGCTCTCCTCCTTCCACTCTACATCCTTGTTCACGGCGGGTACCTCTTTCTTTTCTTTCTTTTTCTTCTTCTTCGTCTTTCCTTCCACCACTGTTTCCACCATTTCATTTGATGCAACTGAAACATGACCATCATCTACAACAGTGGCAAGTTTCTTCTTGGCTTTTGGCTTTTTCTTCTTGCCTTCAGCCTGCGACGCAACCCTCGGCTCCTGGTTTTCTTGGGATGTTTTTTGCTCGTTCTTCTTTCCTTCAGCCTGAGATGCAATGCCTGGTTCCTGGTTTTCTTGGGATGTTTCTTGCTTTTTCTTCTTGGTTTTCTTCTTGTTCACCCTTCCTTCCCCTTCGTTTGTTTCTTCCTCCATGTTTTCTTCTGTGAAAACAACAGCTGAAGGTTCGGGTTTTTTCTCCTTTTTCTTCTTCTTTGTTGGTTCAGCCTCCTGTTCAACTTCAGTCACACCTTTTTCTTTTGGTATCTTTTTCGATTTCGGAACTTCTTCGGCCTCGTCATCTCCTACGCACGGATCACTAGGCTTTCTATTCGTCTTTGGCTCTTTCTCTGCTTTCTTTGCTTTCTTTTCCTTCTTTTCTTTCTTTTCCTCCGGTTTTTCCTCTGGTTCTCCGGTCGCCGCATCATCTTCAGCTTTGTCGTTTGTTGTTGTCACCCAAGCGTCTCGTGGAGATCTGTTTTTTGGCATTTCTTTCTCCTCTGTTTTCTTTTTTCGTCGCTTCTTAGGAGCATTCTTTTTCATGCTGCCAGTGTTTTCTGGCTCGCTGTCGAACTTGAGCGGCTTGATACCATCGGCGGATAACGAGTCTCCGAAAATGCTATCAATTTCGGCATCTGTGGCGCAGCGGCTCTCGACATCGCGTTGCACGTCCTGTAGTATTTTCACAAGCTCATTCTCACTCACCACCGTGTAAGGATCCACACACGGGCTTTCTCGCTTGATATCCTGCGTCTGTTGGTTCATTTGTACTGCAATTATTGGCTCTAAATCGGTGACCAGTAACGAAGGACTTCGAATCTTCGTTTCGACAAAACCATCCGTTAAGCTTTCACGATGGCTATGTGCGCTGCTGGGTTTATCACCGACTCCTGGCGTTAATAACCTCGTTCCATCTTCGGCGACTTGTTCGGCTCCCGATTCGTTCTCGTCGTTACTTGATTTATCATCGTCGCTGATGCTGTCGTTACTGTCGCCGTTGCTGTCATCGCTGTCACTTCCATCAGATGATTCCTCGTCTCTTCCTCCGTTGACTTCGTCGTAAACTACATCTTCGACCATTCGCTTCTGTCGGTAATACTGCAGAATTTTCTCGAGTTCTTCGTTGCTGTATTGGTTAAGAAACCTCTCGAAAACTGGAATAGAATCGCAAAGCTCCTCCTCGTAATAATCCCACTCCACCTCCATCAGCAGTCTTATCAAGTTTTTCTTCTTGTCTGTGCAGCTTTCCGTCTGGAACCAGCGCGTCTTTCTCATGTCCTCGAATGCGATGTTCCTCATAAAATGCATGGCGTTATCTGCATTGTCAGCGATTTTATCGAAGTTGACCTCCAGTTCACTCTTAGGCTCTTTGTACACAGGGTGGATGGCGTGACCGATGGACTTTCCGATGTTCTCTTTGAGGCGATGAATCATGAAGTCCACTATTTCATACTCGTTGGACTGCTTCTCAACATCGCTACGAACTTCTGTAAACGCATCGTTGATTATAGACAGGAACATGTTGATGAGAACGAACACCATGGAGATTGTGTAAGTTAAGAAGAAGATTGGTCCGATGATCCTGTTTGCCTCCATCATCCCTTTCAAGGTGAACTTGCCGAGTATGGTGTCCATCAGAGAGGCGCAGCTTGCCAAGAACGTGCCAAACCCTTCCATAGCCTGTCCAAAAACTAGGCACGCGAGGAGTGCAAAAGCAAGAAACGCCAGTGCAAACATGAACAGGAATGAGATCAACTGGGTGAAGCATCGCTTCAAGACTTGCTGTAGCAGTGACATGCGACGGTTGAAACGGAGGAGACGGAACAGCTTCAAGAACGAAAGGAACACGATGATACCAATGATGCATTTGAGCCACTCGTCTAGGAACGCGGTGTAATGAAAACTGACGAAGCCGGAGTGGTCATTATTCATATCTCGCAGAGCGTCGTTGGTAAACTTCATCCTCGCGAAGTACAGTCCAACTGCGGACAGTGACAGGAGAGTCACAAATATTTCCAGAACGCTCCATGGATTTTTCAAATGTTCCCTGCCCTTCTTCACAAACAGCCTTATCTCCTTGACCACAAAGAACACGCAGAACGCGAGGTACACAATCTCGCATGTCAACACGAAGTACATTTCTCCTCCCACATACCGGAAGAGACGGAGAGTGAGAATGCTGGGATACGAAGTCAGACTTCCGGTAGGCAGCTGTTCAAACAGAAGGGTTACCACGCAGAAGAGGTTTGTGTTAGCGTTGTAGATGGCGAACTCGGAGAAAATAGCTCGTGTGTAGCGGTCTAGCCAGCCACTAGCGCGTAGGTTTGCTGTTATTTTCATGGAATCGTTGGCATCGTTGGGTAAATTTTGCACGAATCCTGCAACGAAATAAAGCGGATGCGAGTAAGCGCGAACCTGAACTCGCGAGTAAGGGTTCGAGTTATCGTGCGAGTCACGAACAGACACAAAACATTGAAAACATTAATGAGATTAATGTGAACAGTTTTAAAAGACCAGGAACTCGATGGCAGTTGAATTTTGACAATGACTAAACACCGTAAATAGGGGCGAATTATCTCGTCCTTCCTCTTTATAGGGGAAAAAAGGAAGAAAAGAAAGAAATTATATCGCGAAATTTGCCAAGCCCCCAAATCAGAAACAGGGAAAACAACCTATTATCAGCTCCTTCGTTTCGAATGTAAACCCTGGAGTATTAGACGCCATTAGGAAAAAAAAAACACAGTTAGGGTCTCCCTAATTCTCCCCACGATAGAACTTGTTTTACATTTTAAGTCGCAACCAGGAGTGCATCACCCTACCCTGAAACTATAAACGGACTCTTGTTGTTCATTCTCTGACTGTAGAATAATTACAGTCATTTAAACCCTCGCGAGCAAAATCCCTTCCTAATCATCCAAGGCAAAATTACCTCGGATAANACAGGGAAAACAACCTATTATCAGCTCCTTCGTTTCGAATGTAAACCCTGGAGTATTAGACGCCATTAGGAAAAAAAAAACACAGTTAGGGTCTCCCTAATTCTCCCCACGATAGAACTTGTTTTACATTTTAAGTCGCAACCAGGAGTGCATCATCCTGCCCTGAAACTATAAACGGACTCTTGTTGTTCATTCTCTGACTGTAGAATCATTACAGTCATTTAAACCCTCACGAGCAAAATCCCTTCCTAATCATCCAAGGCAAAATTACCTCGGATAATAAAATATACTGAAAATAAGCCCGTCGATTTTATGTGTTAGACTTAAAGGATACTTGGAGATTTCAACCCTCTACCTCCCTACCCCAGCCTTCCCCTTCTCTTGCTGACTACTGATCTAATCAAAGCCCTACCTCCAGCGCTGTAGGTGGCCTTGTAACCCCAGTACGGGTATGTTTTTAGTTCGTCTCCGCTCTGGTAGTCCCACGGACCTTTTACTTGGGGCGTTTTACTGGGAGTGGGGACCGGGGTAACAGAACCATTCTTAGGTGGTACAAGAGGTTTTCCTTTCCAACCAGGCAGGTACGAGCCGTGGTCTTCGTCTTCCATGCTGTAGAAATCGTTACACTGGGGGATAATGTGGTGGAATATGCGTTTATACTCGCAGGTATCTGCAACAAAAACAATAAGCACAAAAGGGATGAATTTCGAAGTGATAGGTAAGTTGTAAAAGGCGATTTAAAATTAACGTTAAGCGCTGAAGCCTATGACGTCGAAACTAGAGGGTTCTGAGCTTACCAAGTTAGGTCCTCACAAGTGAAGTTAAAAAAAAAAAATGATGTATAATGTAGTGTAGGCCAGATAGAGTGTAAAATAAACTTTTGAATTGTGCAATGACCATTCCTAGAATTTTAGTCTTTTTGGAGATTAACAGTCCATATTTGCGCGGAGAGCTTTTATTTCTTTCAGTCAACGCTCGGAGATTTGAAACAAGATGGGAAGAGCAGGGGGGCAAGATGGAGCAGGGGTGCGGAATGGAAAGAGTGCAACACTTACCCTTTTTGATCCTTAGCTGCCTCAGCCGCGCCACGCCCAACAGATAGGCGTTGGGTGTGTCTGCAAGAAAATTGGTCTCGTACGGCGTTACGCCATCGTAGTAAGTGTGAGGGTCCAGAGAAGGGATGAAAACCTCATTCACCCATTTCCAGTAATGAGAGATCTCGTGCACCTTGCAAATGATGAAAATAATCTCGTTAAATGCTTGAAATGTTAAGTGTAAATAGTGGTCGAAGCGTCTGGCTACAAAGTAAATATTTAATTGTTAGACATGCCAGTTAGATTGAAAGAAGCAAACATATTTCAATTATACATGATAGGCTTAGAAATGGCGCCTGGCCGGAGGCAGGTCAGTTGGCTACTTACAAGCTTGTCAAGGAGTTGAACCAAGGTCCACCTAGAAACAACTCCAGCTTTAATAGGAGAGCGGTTTAGGCATCGTCACGCAAGAAACAATGCGTGACCAGACAGAGTTTCATTTGTATCAACGATGAAAAAAATACTTCCATGAATTTCAACCTAAACAGAAAATTGTAACGACGCTGTCTAAACGTTTTTGATACCATCACAGGAGTCGGTTTTTCTTGAACAGTACGAGGTTTACTTTCTACCAATCGGCCATGCCATAATTGCCTTTTGCCTCAGTGTCAAAACTAGTCTTCGTGCAAAAATGTATTCCGCTTGCAGTATTCTTTTACATTTAAAGCAAGCTCATTTTTGCACGAGGACTTGTTTTGAAACAGAGGCACAATTAAAGGTAAGGTAAAGGTAAAGTCTGCATACGAGCCAAGTGACTCATTAGGCTGGAGCTTATCCCGGTTTCTGTAGCATGAAGCGACTAGGAGTATTTCTACTACTCCCTTGATGGGATGCCAATCCATCGCAGGTTTAGCCCCAGCATTAAGTTCGCCGATACCCATTAAAACACCTGGGCGGAAAGAGACATTGAGAGTTAAGTGTCTTGCCCAAGAACACAACACAATGTTCCCTGCCGGGGCTCGCTCGCGTACCGATCGATCCGGAGACGAGCGCACTAACCATGAGGCTGCAGCACCTCCCACTCTGGCATCATTAATTGGCGTAAAGTTTCATCTCAAACATGGAACCGAATCGTGTAAACAGAAACTCTCTGAGTTTTGATTACGGCTTACCTTTTTGTAAGTTAGGTTTCCGCTGAAAGTTGAGTCTACAAAGGAGTTCTGCATATATCGCGTCACCTGGGATGTTATCAGGTCTCTGTTACCGTAACTGATGGTGAGGAGGACCAAGAGGAAGATGACGTACCAGGCAATCTCTCGAATTATGGACTTCATCTGCTTTTCCTTCATCCGAAGCTGTCGTGCAATCTCTAACTTAGCCTCGTCCGGTGGCTTGTCATTGATGAGCGTCTTCAGAGTCTTCTGCATCTCGGGGTCAAGATCCTCTGTGTTTTTATGCAGCCATTCCTCGTCGTTGGCGAGAGCGTTAATGTCCGCGTAGGAATTTTCTTCGGCTTTCTTGGGATCTTTAATGAGCAGGGCAAACAACATCGCCAGTAGGAACACTTTGATTGGTTGTGTAAGCAAGACGTCTTGCAAAAAGCTAACAGTCATCGATGAAAGCCACTGCACTGATTTTTCTGCTCCAAACACCATTCCGTAGATGATGACGAAAGATCCTGCTGTAGCCACGGCCAGGAATGCTATGGCGTATGCCACGTAAACGAACCAGTGGGGAAGACCTTTCTTCGGTGGAGCTCTCTTCCTTTCTCCGCCAGCCTCGATATCAACGTTCTCTATATCTTCACTTTCGGTTTTCACTGTGTATCGATTTTCTTTCGGCTTGGCTTTTCGAAAGATAGTAACGATGATAAGATTGGCGGGAAACACAACTAAGCTGCTCATAACCCCAATTGAGACCTGTCGGATCGAGAAGCTAAACCCCATGATCTTAATGGAATTGATAGTCGTCTCGCCCTCTCCCACTTTGTAAAACATGGCATTGGCAAGCATGGTGCACAAGAGAATGGACAAGCAACATGTCAAACGTTGAACCCGAGTGAAGGTACTTCGGGGTGGGCGAGTCACAACAGAGAACCATATATGACCATCAGTCAGGTTCTTCCTCACTTCGGACGTGAAAAGCACGTTGAATTTCGTCAGGTCTTTCTTCGACGCCGGGAAAAGATTCCTCTCGATTTTGCCGTCGCTTTCATCAACCGCCAGCCAGTCGTCGCAGACGAACCACCATCTTTGGTCTGTCTGTATATCCTGGATCATGATACGGAGAAGGTTCCACGAGGGATAGTTGCCTCCGTTGTTGTGCCAGACGCGGATTTGTTTCAGGTTGCCAAGAGACTGGGGTACAGTCAAGAGGAAGGCATCGACGGCCCCTGAGAAAGATGGGATACGCTCTGCTCAGTCGATTTGTTACATTCGGTACTGTTTAGTTACAGCTCGCCTTTTATTATCGAAAGCTCAAGACCGTGTTTGATTACATTTCCAAACATCTCAAAGTTCGCCAAAAATACTCCGCTACACGTCGTATTTTCAACTGTCTTCTCGATAACTGGGAATGTGGTCAAACACGGTCTTTCGTGTATGATTTTTACCTGTCTTGAATGTTTTCCTCTTCGGGTCTTTCAACACTCGAGGCTCACTGTCACCAAGAGCACCAGTCACGACAATGGACACTTCAGCACTGGAACCAGCACCTCGGGCAAACCCCGTATGTACTTGAATCTCGTAACAATAGGTATCTCGAGAGTCATTGTCAGGTAGTGGAGACACTCCCGTCTGTAAAAATAACGTTTAATTATTGTGACCAGCTGTTCCACGTTCAAAGGAGAATTCTGATTGGTTCCCTGAATGGTCCAAATTTTGCAATACTGACCGCTGAGATGGACCGCGCACGAATTACATGTAGTTTCGACAAATTGCCCGGTCAGTCTGTTTTACTTCGTTGTCCTGAAGTCCTTTTCGCTAATGGGGTGCTTTTGGAAGGGACAGACTCAAGGGAGACTGCTTATTAGAAAATAGGTACTTATTGCAAGAAGGGCACTAAATATAATCATTGCGGTAGTTAGCTGCGAGAAGTTTTAAAACTTAGCTGAATCAAGTTTCGATTTGATCCATTATCGCAAGGAGCATATAGCTATAAAATTATTTCGAAAGTTTACAATTTTCTTGATCTAGAAATCCTTAGCTTAATCAGAATATCGGCTCGAGCTTTGAAGTGGCTCAAGTAAGTATAAAGCGACAGATGGGTACCTTTAATGCATCATTCTTGTCCGCTCTCCTCGCAGGAATAAGACAAAGGAGATAAAGGCCCATAATTATACACACTGTAATCAGCGCATGCGGACTCTCCAACAGTTTTCCTGGACTGAGCTCGTGGAAGTTGATCTTGTTCGGCGGAACGAAAAAGTTACTCCCAAATGTTGTCAGGTGTGTAGTCAAGCATTCAGTAGCACTGACACTTGTCTTCGGCCCCACCTATCAAAAAAATTCGATAACATAATGCAGGTTTCGTCAACTATCACGCATAGAAATCTCGAGCTCATAATATAATTGTTAATTAAACTCGATAGAAACTTGATGTATCGCCAAACTATGAGAACTAAGTTTACAAGAAATGTATTGCGATCAGTAGAGAGATTTGAAATGACTGACTGAACTGAGTAAATTACCTTGACGCCCTCTGTTGACCAGACCTCGCTTTCCTCGTCGTAATACCAACAACTGGAGAGGATCACAGAGAAGTTGTACGGTATTTTTTTCAGTTCCTCCTCGGTGAACGAATGGTTCTTGGGTTCCTTGGAGCGTACGAGAGCAAAGTATGTCCCGGCTGCAGTCCAGTTTAGATCTTCATTAGACAAGAAATATTCATATGAATGATGAGACGGGCCGGTGGAATTTGATGAGTTGTCAACCCGAACCCGAACCCCTGGAGTCAACTCTCCAACCGAAAGCGTCACGTTGTAGTCGTACACGTTCTTCGATAAATTGGGTACCTCTCCCTTTTTGACATACAGCTCTATGTCCACGTCAAGGTCTGGTGACACTTCGATTATCAAAGCGGACATGTTGTCATGTACTTCAAACTCGTGCTCAATGTATTTGCTTGACTCAAGCTCCCCTGAGACCGCAAATCGATCGGCATCTGGCTCAATTCTTGGAACAATCACGCTTATTTCCTCTCCTTTCTCCAGATCTTTAACATCAACTTTGCTGCCATCTGACTCTTGAAATGAAATACTCACAAGCCCGCTGTTGTTGAATTCCCTCTCAGGATGATAATTTGTCTTAGAAACAAGTTGCTGGTGAGTAAATCACAGACAGAAATATTTACTAAATAATTCTCCAGTGAGGTATAGTTTCAATCTACTCTGGGTCTGCTCTCTTGGCAGGTTTAATCCTCTAATGTGTTCCTTCAATATCTCGCTTTGATCTTTACTAGATCGCCTACGTCTTTCCCGTCCTATCTAGAAAACATCGAAGCAATTCTGCTCGCATGGTATTCCTTTAGTGGCTATCCTTCGCTAGGGCGTTCAATTAATTTCGCTTCTAATCCCTGGAGGCCGTAAGGGCCTGTTTACAAGGAGAGAGGGTAACCCTAGCAAGCGGGTTACCCTAGCACTCAAACATTTCCTCTTTTTTTCTTCGTCGTGTTTACAAGGCAGCCAGGGTTACCCGGGTAGGCGGGTTACCCTGTCTGCATGTTAGGGTTACCCTGGCAGGCGGGTTAACTTTTTCCCATGTAAATACTCCAAGTAGCGTTAACCCGCCTACCCGGGTTAACGTTCTACTTGTTTTCAGACTCTCTGAGTGTAACCGCGCATTAAGTTGTCACGGGTTGTAGGGTTACCCTACCTGTGAAATTTTGCTTGTAAACCCACTTGTTAGGATAACCCCCCCTCCTTGTAAACAGGCCCTAAGTCTATTTGAACAGTGACGAGTTTTGACCTAGCTTTCTTTCATCATCACATGATGAGAAATTTTGAGGCCATTTTAGACGTAAGAAGCCATAATAAGATGGAGGAATGTCTAACAGTAATACTTCTCCTTAACATGGTTTGCCCCAATGAAACATTTGGACGAGCTTACAGTGAAGGAATTGCCGTCTTATGTATTGTACAATGAGGCGATTTGTTTTCCCCACCATGGAACATTTAGTAGCCTGAAATAGGGAGCTTAAGAAAACTACGACGGCAACGGTAACGGCAATGTCGCTAAATTAAACAAAAGGTTTCAAAGCAGAACAATGGCTGTGCACGTGCGTTACAATTCTTGGTACATTTCAGTTTGCCGTCCTCTGCATAACAATAGGGACCTTACGCAAAACACGACGGCAACGGCAACGAGAACGTCACCAAACAAAAGGTTTGATGAGCAAACTATGATAATGGCTGTGCACGTGAATTATAATTCTTGGTACATTTCCTTGCCGTCCTCTGCAAAACAGCAACGTGAAATGACCTATTTCTGCGATGTCTGGAGAACGTGAACCACAACGGCTAATTTTTCATATTTCTATTTGGAGCTGGACGCATTCGTAGCATATTCAGCAGGGCAAGTTTTAATACCGACAAACACACTGGATAGTTTCAAATAAATGCGAAATTCCAAAGTAAAATAGAGGCACATTTTTTACTAGGCGTCGTCCTCGCCGTCGCCGTCGTATATGCGTAAGGTCCCTAATAACGTGAAATGACCAAATTCTGCGTTGTCTGGATAACGTGAACCACGACGGCTAATTTTATCAATTTTTATTTCGAGATTATCGATGTGTCCTAGATTCAGCTTCATGATGGCTTTGACAGTGATAAACAAAGCAAATGACTTTAGGGTACCGCAAGATTCGTAAGTAAAATATAAAATCACTTTTTAATCGACGTTGTCCTCGGCGTCGCCGTCGTGGTTTCTTAAACTCCCTATTGTTATCAGTCGGCTGAGGGTGGAAGATGACTGATATTTTAGGCTAGACATTTAGCCAACACATAGGGGTTGGTTAGGTAGCTTGGAAGGACAGGATTCGGTACTGACAGAAGTGACGGATTCACAGACTATATCTATAGGGCTCAAGCTGTGATCAAAATTATAAAATTTGAAAAAAAGACATATTTAGGGTGTACCCTAGAAGCATTTCTTTTTCAACTGTTCGGTGTTATATCTTGTCACACCTATAGGAGAAGTGCAAATCTTAACGCTTTTCACTTAAACTATATGTGTGACAGCTACACTCCCAAAATGAAAAGTTCGAAGGTTGTGCCTGTGTGTTGCCTTTGATAATCGTGTTCTTTCCATAAATCATCCATGCATTTTAAAAAACGATTTCAGTGTCACAACAGCTAGCCTGTGTAGCTGGCTGGATTTATTGCGCAAGTGCATTTTGTTTTGGTGAGAATAATTCAGCCTTGAGCGCATGTGGCGACGCCGCGGGGGCATTGGTGAAGAGTCGAGTTGACTTCTTCGCCCTCGAAAGAATAAAATCGCGCCTCTGCCACCAAAAATCACTCGCTCTCAAATCCCGCCAGCTGTACAGGCTGCACAACAGCTGACGTGACACATGAAGACAACAAATGAAGTTGCGCATGAGAGAATTAATGACCTCCAGTTCAAAGAAAGAAAAACAAGCCACACACGGAATAATTTTGTCGCCAAAATGCTGATTACCTCCGTTAGCCTGGCTTTTAAACTTAGAAATGCTAAATCCCAATGTCACTCACAGAGTGAAGTAAATTTCTACTGTGTTCAACTCTCGAGTTAATTGTCAGCGCGACGGATAGAACACAAAGCGCTGAGTTCAACAATTAAAGAACGTTACACTTCAAGCCGCAAACGATACATCAACCAATCAGGTCATTGCCCACACATTCCTGGAAAAGTCACGTGACTTGAGTACGATCAACGCTTTCTCCGCTATTTGATTACGGGGGAGGGAACGGTTGTGACACAGCTTACTTATTACTGCGATAATATATTTAGTTTTACAAACAAAAAAGACTGTCCAAAATTGTCGATTATTACTAAATTCCTGGATAATGAATTTTACATTCAAATTCTCTCAAACGAAAAGTTGAATTTTACATGTAACACCTCTCATACCTACACAAAGTAACATACCATTATATCAAGAGTTTTATTGCCAAAGACCGTCAAGTTCTGCGGAATTGTCACCTCACTACCGCCAATTTTGAGTGGCTTTTTACCGATGTCCTCAGTCTTTGTTCGAGAAACTCCCAGAGAGATTGATCCCGCTGTAAGCTCTTGTGCTTCCTCGCCGGGAACCATAGAAACTGTCAGAGCCGCTGCCAAATTATCGAATGTTCCAAGAATTTTCTGAGTTGTATTTTTTGCTGCATTTGTCTGAAACGTAAACCACAAGCTCAGGTGTGATTTAAGTAAGAAACCTTTCTTCCATGCCAAGTGGGAGGCGGGGTCGTTTCTTCCCGGTTTCGGTAGCATAAGGAGGTTAGCATGCTCTCCTTTATGCCAAAATTTGTGAAAACCTGATCGAAAGTCAAATGGAATGGTTCGTTTCGGCTCGGTCCCACCGGATCAGGATCACCTCTGGAGGTGGTCGTCTTTGAACTAATGCACCGGTGGCACCGAAATTTTTTCGACTTTTTTATGACTGACCCGGTGAGCTCGTTTACACCTCGTAAAAACAGGTATGCAGTTATAAGGTAGGTAGGTAGGTAGGTAGGTAGGTAAAGTCTGCATACGAACTAAGTGGTCCATCAGGCCTGAGCGTATCCCGGTATCTGTAGCATGAAGCCACTAGGAATATTTCTACACCCCCTTTATGGGATTCCAGTCCATCGCAGGGGTACCCCTAGCATTAAATTGGCCGGTACCCATTTGTACATCTGGGTGGAAAGAGGCACTGTGAGAGTAAAGTGTCTTGCCCAAGAACACAACGCAATGTCCCCAGCCAGGGTTCGAACCCGGACCGCTCGATCCGGAGTCGAGAGCACTAACTATGAGGTCACCGCGCCTCCACATGCGGCTATAATAAGGAATTTATGAAAAAAACACATATTTGCTTAGCATTGTGGGAGATTTTCGCGTGGTGCTCATTTGTTCTCCTTTCCTCCTCACCTCTTCATTGTTTTGTGACACAGCCGCTGACCTAATGATGTTGGCTCCTCCATTCAACACAGACCCAGCGGCGTCCACTATATCCTCGCTGGACACTTCGTCTGTTCCGTTGGCTTGTTCAAGGATTTTTGTACCGGCTTCCTCCATCACACCTGCGACTTTTTCCTGGTTTAAAGAAAAAACGGCAACATCGTTTTAGTCGAATTACCACTCACCCATCCGGTTTCGGTCTCATGTTTCCCCCCCCCCTGCATTTTGTTAGGACGCCCTTACAGTTCCGGGGGTACCCATTTACCCTGTCTCCTCAGTGGAGGGAGGCACTCTTAAGCCCCGTCCACATTAATGCGTTTTCGAAACGACACGTGTCGAATTTTCGCACGAAAACACCTCAAAAGTTCGATTCATCCAGAGTACCGTTTCGCATCATAGTTCATAGTAAAGCCTAATTTTCCCAAGCGACGGAGTCGTAGTCGAAGTCGTAATCGAAGAACAATACGATCTAGTGAAAATCGAACAGACAAAAAAGAATAACAAAGTTTACACACTTACACCCATCAGTATGCGAATAGAAGCGATATTTGGTCTGGTTTTTCTTAACCTCTGTTATTATCCTTTAATGGCGTAATCTGAATAGGCTTCTCGAAGTGATAACTCTTTGCTATGTGACGTCACTCTAGTAGCGATGAGTCGGTCAAGAATCAATACTGGAAAACAATAGAGTCCCCTCTCTCATGGTAATGGTGAAACACCAGTTTCTTTAGCATTGATCAGCCGACTGAAAATATCGCAATTCAAGTTATGTGTTCCAAGCCCACAGGATCAAAGATTGTCTCTGTCCCAAGCGTGGGTTTAATTTCCTGTTTTCTCTCTAGGGTAGACTCAGATGTAGACGTCGGTGGATTTCATAGGCAGTTTTCCTTTCTATCAACCACTACAATAATTAAATATGATGCTAGTCCGTTAATTGACAACAACAACAACATTTCCCTTTTCAAATTTTGAACTCCAGGGTTGAGCAGAATAAGGGAACATTATCCAAGGCTGGAACTAATTCCCATACTTGTGGATGAACAAGTCAACAGCATATAAGTGTACTTACCTCCACAGCTTTGGAATTCTCTTTAGGGTTGCTTGTAACGGTGGCAAGAGTGTTGGTAAACAGCGTAATATCAGACAAACTCCCGCTAACAGATTGTGTCTCTATCAGAGCCGTAACAAGAAGCTCTCGCACCTAAAAAAATAATTAACATTACTGGTAAAATATTTGAAAAAATGGGAAAAGTTTATGAGGGTTATGATGAGGATGAAGATGAGGATGAGGGTGACGGTGAAGGTAAGGATGAAGATGACGATGAAAATGGAGATGAAGTTGAAGATGAGGATGAAGACGAAGGTGAAGACAAAGATGAAGATGGAGAAGGAGGTGGAGGTGAAGATGGAGGTGGAAGTGGAGATGGAGATAGAGGTGGAGATGGAGGTACAGGTGCAGGTGGAGTTGGAGATGGAGGTGCAGGAGGAGGAGGTGGTGGAGATGGAGATAGAGATGGAGGTGGAGGTGAGGGTAATGGCGTGAGCGTATCATTTACCTCTTTTTTCTTCTTATTGTCTTCAGGACTTTCTCCAGACGTTGATTCGCTACCGTCGTTCAGTTCCTCCGCGATACATTGAACAAATGAAGCGGTCTCTAGAGTATTTCCAGCATTAACTAAACTTGTTAGTTGACTTTTTGCTCTGTTTTGAATTTGTTCAACGCTCATCTCTACACGTTTCACCTATAAAAGAAAAGAAAAATGACATTTTGAAGAATAAAGAATACCATCACAGTTTCTTGGGTTTAATTACGGTGCGACCTTTGTACTCTGTGCAGTCGCCCCTGTATTGAGATTGGCTTCACGCTTAAGCTGCCGACCTTTTAAAAGAAAAAAAAGCTTATAACAAACTGCTCATCGCTCCTGGTTCAAACAAGATACATTCCTTTTTTTTATTTCAGAGCTGGAGTTAAATCTAACGCGCGCTCCCATTGGTTGATTTATGGTCACGTGGCAATGGCTAAATCTAAATGTTGCGTGCAATAATTAAGCAAAGCAGATTTCCACGTTGACGTCATTTTCCTGCAACTACCAGAGTTCCTTTCGTTTTCTAAATCAAAGGATTCTGGTAGTTGTAGTCAAATGACGCCGTCATCCAAATCACCTATTGTCGCCCGCTCTCCCAGTAACCATAGGTTACTTTAATTTCATCTTTACAATAAACTCCAGCTATATATTTTTTTTTATCGAATCTCGATGTTTCCCTTGATTTCGTCTCGAAAAACATCGAGATTCTCGGGAAAACAAAACTAACTGTTTTTCTCGGGACCAGTGATTAATTGTATAATGTATCACTCTAGAGGGAACTCTCCATAGAGGGTTTGGCATTGTAAGACCGGGCATTTTTAGTCGGCTGGGAAGGGTAGAGGGTCGTTGAGACCCGTACCCTGAAACTATTACGACAATGAAACTTGGTCCATTTATGGCAGTTTCAAATATATTTCCTTTTAAACCTATGACACAAAATGACGATGTAATAGTACGTAGAAATGACGCCATTAATCTCTAACAGCCGCCATCTTGGATCCGCTATCTTAGATTTTATGATTCTCTTCAAACGTTAGAACATTGCCAAAACTGCCCATATGTACCTAATGACCAAAACCGATCAAGAAAGCCAAATATAACTAAAAAGGTAAAAATATTTGCAAGAAAGTTAATGCCTGTCAAAATATGGTTGCCGTGGAAACATCAAGATCCTCGACAAATTACATGCCATGCTCAGTTGTTCCCATACACGTTTAAGGAAAATTCGTCAATACTTAATACTTCAATGCTTTTAGAGTAACAATCCCTCAAAGTTGATATGGGCCTGAAAATCCCCCCCCCCCCTTCCCCCCGCTCCTCACCACGGTTTCAGTTCGTCGTTATGTCGCATTTATGAGGAAGCAAGGCCAAGATTTTCCTTTATAGTTTAAAGGAATCTACGTTAGTAGGAGACGAAAATGGTCTTAAAGCCATACGTCAAAAACGTTATTCTGAATTTTATCTGGAAAGGCCTTACGAGCAACCCATCACAGTTACGTGTGAATGCTTATGCTCCGTCTACCTCCATCAATCAATTACCTTTATTGGAGATTTGAACTTGACCATCTCTGAGGCTCCCAAACCGTCGAAAATTTTGGCGTAGAGTGTTAAATCGTTGTCGTTTTTCTCCAGACCACTTGGAAATGTAACTCGTGAACGTATATCCTCTAAGCCCTTGCCTATCGTTTCATTCTTTAATCCTTCCCCTCTCCAGTAAAAGAATTCATATTGTAGCGGTGTCTCGACATCTTTAAAGTTTTTGCAGCGCAGAGTAAAACTCGGCTCCAATGGTTTACCCTCGAGTGGCTCTGCGGTACATTCTCCATTTTTGGGAGGCTCGTTAATGGTAATTTCACGGCTGGCATTGCCCTCTTTTCCACCAACAATCCACCCGATCAAAGTAACCACGTATTTCTTACCACCTACCAAGAAACAAAGTAAGCACACTCTTTTCTAAAAGATCGTCTATTTCAAGGACTGAGAGTGAATGTTCCCACAGTAACTACCTTATTAGTAAGGTTTTTTAAAAATAATTCACAGTAAATACTACGGGTAAAAACGAACGACATTTCGACTACTCTTCGGTCATTCTCAAGTTCAAGGTTGAGGTAAATTCATACTTCTGGTGGAACACCCCCACGAGTTCGAGACACATGACTTGAGATTTTGCCTAACCCTGGTCGTCATTAAGAGATTCCCATGGGTTTTTTACAAGGAACGGCTACCTGCTCAGTTACATAACCCAAGAACTGACTGGGGGAAGCGAACATCTTACCACAGATGTGTAAGTGACTGGACATCTCTCCCTAGTGCACCTAAAAGGCATTAATGCCATGTAAAATGTTGAAGCGCAACATCGATAAGTTTTTATTAGCTGCACATTCTTGGCGTTTATTAATAATCAATTTTAGAACTTTTTGTGCACAGATAATGTAAATTAGTTTTCAGCATTTTCTATTTTCTCTTTTCACTTTTTAACTTTTATCTTCACTTGTATGAACTTTTTGGTTTGAGGACCTTCCTGAAAATCACTTTAAAGTGATGGGAGCATCCTCTTAAAAAATCATAAATTATTGTTACTATTATTATTATTATTATTATTATTATTATCATTCTTATCATTCTTATCATTCTTATCATTCTTATCATTATTATTATGCCAATCATGCACGTTTACCTGTCCCCTTAAATGTTAGCCCGCCAGTAGACTGCCCCACCCCCCAACACTCGTTCCTCATTTTTTCCCCTCTCCCCCTGCCCTACCCCTGGCATACTCTTCACCTTTCTCCTGCCCCTACTAACTTTCCGACCGGAGAGCCTTCTTGCTGATTACATCATATCACCCTCAAGGCAATTAAGTACAATTTTGGTTCCAAGTTAGAAGAGCACAAAAGGTTTATCCATACAAAACCATAGTTCTTACCCACCCATAGTTCTTACTTTAGCCATGAATGGGCATGTACTTTGTATGCATTTAAACGTTTTTAATAAGATTCTAGAACAGCTTTGCAGAGACAATTAGCTGCAAAGTGAGCATTTGGTTGAACAATTCACACCCTCTTGAATTCTGAGTTACCCGTCAATTTTACCCCTAAAACTAGAGTTGACACCCGTTACATTTTGTTGCGTTACGTTCCTTAGGTTGCATAACGTTATTTTTACCTTCCAGTTTATTGGGTTTGATCACTAGGCTATCCAAGTGCAAAGGTGTGCCAGCATACTCCTCTAATTTTTGTGTTTCGTTGCAATTCTCTTCTTCACTTTTGCCGCATTCTTTCATTTCCAACTCCCATTTGTAATTAATTTTCTTGTTTGTTCTATGCTTTCCGTGGCCTCGTAACGTTAACTTGCTCGATGGGTTAATTTTTTCTGATACGTCACATTGCTCACACCTAAAATGTAATATTTAAAAAGTTCCAACAACAAAATCGTAGCAATTTGTTCGTCTCTTTTAACCAAATATTTAGACAGGAACTTCCGGTCTCCTCCCTCCCTTTAAGACATTCCTTTCGGCGACACCAAGAATTAGAATTGCTTGAACCCGTTTGTAAGTGTCTTATCTTTCCTGGTAATACGCTTGTACATCTCACAATTAGCTAATTTCCCGTCCCCAGATCTCTTGTGGGCGAATCCGACAACGATCTGGGAACGACATTAACACCTAGCACGAGATATTTTACTATTTGTGAGTAACACTTCCGTAAAATTGCATTGCGCATGCGTGCCACATATACTCTCTCGCGTACATAACAACGCGTAAATTTAAGTTAAACTTACGAGAGGGAAGAAGATGTGACAGTCGCTCCTCGGATGTGGTGGATATTTTCATACGGCCTTTCAATATTTATACTTATAAAAAATGCGACAACTTCTCCAGTAAGGAACATGAGCAAATTTCCTGTCCTTGGAAACCGGATTTTGCAAGATTTTTTTTGTTACGGTGACCTAATATGTCACTTATGGTACCTAGCTTATAGGCTAATTACCACCCCATACTGCGGAATTGTGAAATATCCTGAATTATAGTTCATCAAATATTTTCGCTCGCGCGCGCCCTTGGTCTAAAACGAATCACGTGACTGAATATTTCCTATGGGGAATATCCGACTGATATTCCCCAATTTTCAAAACCGCGCGTGTTGCGAAAAACACTTCAAGGATAATAAACACAATAGCCTCCACTTGGCGCGAAAATATGCTCGGATATATGTCTTTGGACATTATCTGTTCTTCGAAGCTCACAATTTTCCTCGAGCTCCGCTCTCGGTAAACTGTTCGCTTCTCGGAACAGATAATGTCCGCGGACAAATATCCGAGCATATTTCCGTGCCAAATGGAGGTTATTGTTTTTATATACTCACTCAATTTTCAGGGTTGGCGGGTCTCCCGGACTAACAGTCACAATCTGATCTGCAAATTTGTTGCGGTCGTCCTTCGTCATGACGAATCGGAAAATATACGTGGTGTTTGGGGTCATAAGACTTGTGTTCAACGTAATTTTCTGAGACGTGAAGTTGAGCTGTCCAGGTCCATAATCAAAGCAACCGCCGAGGGAGACATTGCGTGTATTATTTATCTGAGGTGGTGGGGTTGGAATGGGGGGTAGGTTTGTTAAATTAGTTGGTAGATTGTAATTATCATCCCTCTGCTTACAGAACCACGAAAAATTGTATCCAGTGTTATCCTGTGACTCGCTGTCAGGATCCTTTGATTTCACAGCGTTTAGATCCAAGGGGGCTACATTACCCACAGTCCTCTCTGTACCTCCATCGATAATAGCGACAAGTTCAGATTTTGTGATCTCTATGTAAAATTTCTCCTCGGTAAAAACGCCTGGTTCCAACAACATGTCGATCCGGAAAACCAATTCATACGAGCCGTAATCAAGCCTGCGAGCAGGGATGTTCAGGTCAGAACTGCCGAGGTCGATTTTTAATTCTTCCTTGGGAAGTTCTTCTTTCTTATCGTCTCGCAGCCGATAAATGCGCCACCCATATTTAGTTGTAAGGTTGTAGCAATTGATTTTGTTTGATGTTTTGATATCGATCTTCTTCGAGCGTTTGTACTCCGTTCCTTCTTCCTTGGTCTTTGATATCACAGCGTTTATTTCTGGGTAAAAGCAAGGTCCTTTCACAACGGACGCTTTAGATTTTTGATTTCCAATCCTGACGCAAGAGACGCGATTCTCGGCAGTCAGAGTGACATTATAATCTTGTGCCTTGGTGTAGGTGTGTGAGAAATTCACGGGTGATTTTAAATCTGTGGGGTTCTCACAACTCCCCTGCAGGAACGGCGTACCAGTCTTGAAATATTTTGTCGTTCCCTCGCTGTCCTTCAGTTCAATTTTAAAACAAGAATTGTTTCCCTTCTTTTCCACACGTAGAGAGAAATTGAGAGGTTTGTCCTTCACTGCAGGTCCGTCGTTCTTCAGGCTAACTCCAAGTATGCTTTCCTCTACGGTGATTTTCATTTCTTTAGTGTCGTTGCTGACTTCGTTCTTTGCCCAGAGTGAGATATTGTGATCTCCTGTTGAGTTGAACTTATGCCGACAGCTAATTCCCTCGATTTTGTGACCGTCTGGAAAGGTCCAGGTGTACGTCACGTTTGTACCATTTATGATGGAGGCGCTGAAAGATATGTCGTATTCCAAGGGAAACACGCCTGTTTGAGGAAAAAATTTCTTTTCTTGTGGACATTCATTGACATAATCTGTCACGTTAGCTGTAAAATTGAGGCCGTGGACTTCATCTTGAACTTTAACCTCCACGGATGCGCTGTCGGAACTTATCTCATTGGAAACTTCAACAGTAGCAATATATACGCCTTGCCTGGGATAAGGATGAATTATTTCATCTCTATTTTTTAAAAGGTTTTGGGAGACGTTGTCTCCAAAGCTGTAGTTGAAGTAAAGTGGCCTCGAGGGAGGGTTCTGGGTAGAAAATTCCACGCGGAACCCCACTTTGCCAAGCGAAGAAGGAATGGGCGAGTTTGACTTAAGTTTGACCACGCTGATGGGGTTCTGAACAATCAGCCTGCAAGTCGACGTCACATTCTCAAGATTTCTGTTAAACAACGTCACTGTGATATTGTATTCCCCTGCGTCCGAGTAAAAATGCTTCGAAGTCGTTCCGTTTTCAGGGAATTCTTGATGCAAGTATGTAAGATTGCTTGACGAACCGTTTCCAAAATCGAACACAACGTTAACGTTGGTACCATTTGAAACTGTAGCAGTTGCCGTGACGCTCTCGTTCACAGCTATGTACAAAACACCGCCCTTTGCACAAGGTCCACTTTCAGCCGCTTTTTGCAACGATCCGCGTCCTACTGCAAGTTTGGCGCCCTGTACTGGAGTCTCAACATGGATTGTGGTGTTAATCGTCTTGTTGTCGACCTGATTACTTACTGTGACTTGAAAGAGATAGTCCCCAGGAGCACTGTAGTTATGACTGCTTATGGCCAAAAAAATATCGGCAACTGTGATGTTCTCTTTGAATAGTTTTGTGTCGCCATCGCCGTAGTCGACAAGTATGGATATTTCAGAACCCTGAGACACTTTCCAGTGCACTCGCGCCTCGGTCATCACTCCCGCATTGTGATCGAAGCTCTCAAACTGCAATCCTTCGATCACGTCCTGAACGATGACTTCTTGGCAGTGTGCTACGGCTGAACTGATATCATTGGATGCGATCAAAGCAACTTTGTACCTCCCACCCTTACGATACGTGTGTGAAATAACTTTCTTTGTGGTGTTGATCGTTTTTCCGTCCATGGTAAGTAAGAAGTAATTGGCTGTTTCTTCTCCTTGATGCTGTAGTACGGTAAAATTAAACGTCTGGTTTGTTTTCACGATGCCCGGATGCATCACGGATACACCCGAGATTGCACGTTGCACACTGAGATTGCCTCTGATGCTATCATCGTACAACTTATTAACCGCTGTGATCGTCACAAGGTACAGGCCAGGATTGGTTATGTTCGTTTTGTAAATGGCGAAAAATGTGGCGCCAAGTGCTTTAGCATTGGTCAAATTCGCTGTGTGGTTCTCGCCTTCCGGGGATACAACGCTGATGTTGAAGTCGACATGTGATCCGTTACGTAACAACCAGCCGATGCTAGCAGTAGTTCCATTTTGAATGGAAAGGAGGGCGGTCTGACTAAATTCCAAACCCGCAATCTTCTCCTGAACGACAGTTGAGCACCAGATACTGACCAGGCTTACTCTATTTGTCGCTATGAGGTTCACAACCACTGTTCCGGTGGCTTCATAACGATGCGTTACCCATGGTGTTGTGGTTGTGGCATTTTTCTCATCGCCAAAGTCCCATACATAAGACACGTTTGTGCCGTGCAGTAGTTCAGCACTTATGTTGACGCCTTCGGCCGATGGGAGTGCATCGGGCAACTTTAACTCCAGTCCTGTTATGTCTTCTTGAACAGCAATCTCTTTTGTGAAGCTCAATTTTTCTCGCGCGTTTTCAAGAGTGAAGGAAACTTTCTCATGACCAGCTTTCTGATAGCGGTGTTCAAAGTACGTTTCAGAGGCTGCAGAGTACCGTATGGCTACCGCAGGTGCGTAATTAACTTTCGTCGGGCTCTCTTCTGTTAATGGAAGACGATTCCCGCGAAGAGTCTGGGTACCAGTGGTATTAAGCACCGAGCTGGAATACAGGAAAGAGGAACTTGATAAACTGGTTTTCAATGCCGCGGTTGGCCCAGTGGCGGGAAAACGCACTCCGATGAGGTCGCCCTCTTGGAGTTGAAGTTGTTGACTTCCAGTTTCAATCAAAATGAGTTTGTGGCCAGTCGTTGTATAAACCATGTAACTTGAGATATGCTCGTAGTCAAAGTTTCCATGTGCTACCGTCGTGTTGTTGCTGCATGACTCGCTCTGCTTGGTGCACTGTCCCTCCTTGAAGCTAAATGTTTCCTCGTTGTCGCAGCTCTTGGGTTTTCCTGCTGGGCAAACGGATGCGTTTATCACGTGATAACTAGCGACACACAGGTTGCTTGCTCCACAGTAACGCTGACCCACTGATAGACATTTTCGTCGATAAACCTACCACAAAATGAAATAAGGTCTTGATCAACCTAGTTCCTAAGAATTAAGAAAAGCCCAGGGATTGAGTTTGGCCGGGTCCTGATCGGATAAGAACCTGGAGAGGGGTATGTACGAAGCTGACTTCTTTACGCTAACAAATATCATATATAAAAATGAAATTTTAAAATATGATAGATAAATAAATAAATGAACAAATAACTTGGGAATTGGCACGTCTAGTAGATGCCTATTTTCTACCATTTTCACTGAGATCCGATTAGAGAATTTAGAAGAGTTTTTTTTTTGTTTTTTTTTGTTTTTTTTTTGGAATTTAGAAGAGTTGAGTTTTTGCGCAAGGAAGAAACGAATAAGAAAAACCTTCGCATCATAGACGAGAACCAACAACAAACATAAGCCACATTGGACTTTGGGGACGGGAACACTCTACCACTACACCATCCTTGCTCCCTCAATCAGAAAGGTTTTCAAAACGGAAACATTCGAAAAGAAAAATCATTTAATACATCACAGAGAACGACATTTAAAAGCTTACCCCCGCTAAATTACGCAAAGATCTCCCTTGTTTACACTTGAATTGCCATGTGTTCTCTGTTTTTAGTAGAGTACAATTGACTGCTGTTGCGAAATCATGCTTAAAGTGAGCTCTGAACTAGACTACTCAAGCATATCGTATGAAACTTGTTACAGTCCAGTATGTTCTTAGTCTCCTAATCACCCGATTGATACAGCGAAATTCCATACAATGCAACTTAGGAACGTTTTCAAGATCAACTTGGAACAAAACATAATCTAGAATAGTCAGTCCTTACTTAGCCTCAGTTCTCAAATTAGACGTTCTTTTCAATGGGGTGTATGATGTGTGTTTTGCACATATAAATGGGTTAATTTTTTCACGTCAAGAAATAAGACCTTATTAGTACCTTCACGTCTACGAAGCCTCCTCGCTCGACATCCATCTCTAGCGCCACAGCTTTACCCCTGCTGGTGACCTCCATTCCCTCCAGAAGGTACAATCCGTCAGAGGTACTAATCTGTGATCCGGAGTCAGCGGCTGGAATACCCAAGGTCATGATTTCTGCGTCTGTGTGATGCAAAAATGTACTGTCTTACCTTGAGAGACTGAGTGAGTGTGCGGTTCGATGACTGACTGGCTGACGGACGGACGGACAGACTGGCGGACTGACTAACTGACTGACTGACTGACTGACTGGGTGACTGACCGACTGACCAAACCACTTACCAACCAAATGACCGACCGACTGACCGACTGACTAGCTGACTGACTTATCGAATGACTTATCGATCGACTGATTGATTGATCGATTGATATATTTATTGATATATTTATTTATTGATTGATTATTGCGTGCTTGATTGGTAGGCTAGTTGATTGGTTGGCCGACTAAGTAATTAATTAGCTGATTGACTGACTGATTGATTGACTGATTGACTGACTGACTCACTGACTGACAGATCAATTGATTGATTAGTTGATTGATTGATTAATTTATTGATGGATTGTTTCACTGACTGACTGACTGACTGAGCAATTGATTGATTGATTGAATCTGACTACAGAAACGCATTGAATGAGATCCTGGATGGTTGATTTCAATCGCTATTTAGATGATTTTAAGTCTGTATTGTGGATTACAAGCCCTTCAGAATGGCCCTTATCTCCATTTTTTGTAGCATTAGGCGACTAGTAGTATTCTACTCCCCGTAGGTGAGATAATAGTCCATCCCAGTTCTACCCCCCAGGGTTACCCGCCGGTACCCATTTATACTCCTGGAAGAGAAAGGCACTGAGCGAGTATAGAACAAGACACAGTGCCACCGTGTATTCCACACTGCTTTAAATTAACTAAATGTAAATTTCTATGAGCAGTATCTCTTACCAGGCACTGAGCCAATGCGATCTTCTCCTTGTTTAAATTGTATCGTGGTCCCCACGTTGGCACCCCGGCTAAACTTCAAGACACAACTGAAGGTGAAATTCGTAGCAACTGCCGCTGGACAAACGAACTCGATGTCTGTGACATTAGAGATCGCTGACACAGTCGTGGAAGACTCAGCCGTTGACCGATGACCAGTGTCTCTGTGTTTGACTGTCACTTTTCCTAGGAGTGGATAAGCCCCGGGATAAAAAAATGCAAGAGTTGCGACGGATTGCGTCGTTTGATACGTTGTGCCATCTCCCGCGTTTATTGAGTAAGACTCGACAGTTCGGTCGGCTGGCAACAAAGGCGTCAATGTCAAGTTGAAAGCCACGAGTGTCGTAACATTCTGGTCTGATGACAGCGTTAAGCTCAGAGGCCGCACTTGAAGCGACTTGTAAACGGAAATGTGAGTTTCACTGCCGCATTCGGAATTTCCAGAGCCAAAGCAGGGCACATCACACATGTCTGAGGAACGTTCATTTGCGGGCACCGTAGAGTTGGAGCACAGGCAGAAGTTGCCCCCTTTCAGTCCTGCGTAACTGAAGTACGCGGTGCCACATACATCCATGCAGAGACCTGGCGTCATTGCGCTTGCTTTATAGCTACCTGGATTAAATACAAACGACGACGAGTCGGCGCTGTCCTCGTAACAGCCCAGGTAATAAGCAGGAACTGCAATGAAGGGAGCAAATGAAACCTTGTCAGACAAGTTAGTGTTTTTATACTTTCGTACCCTTGTTTCTGCTTTTGTTAGTTTACTTTTGAGTTAAACATGGTCTGCTTCACCCGCAAGCTCAACCCAGTCTCTCCCAAAAACGCGTAGTGTAGAATCAGACGTGGTAACGAAAAGGAAGATCAAGCTCCTACATAGTTTATCTAACTATATTAGCCCTTTTCGCAAGGTCTATGCGCCCTGCCCCCCCCCCCTCCAAAAAACACACTCTCCCTCTCTAGGGGGAAGGAAGAAGATAGACTCTAGTAAAGAGTTCTTATGTCATCGTCATTTTCTACTTCAAGTGACAGCGTCAAATACTAGAGGTGGGAATGTATCGCAGACTAAAGCACATGCAAAACAAGTTAATTTTTTCTTTGATACTAACCTTGTTCACAAATGTATTTGTTCGGGATAAAAGAACACTGAGAATCTCGCCAAGTTCCATTGACGTCTATTACAACACAAGCGTCACTTCTCGACAAGCCATCTTTCCATTTAGTGAAGGAGAAACCTAAACCGTCCTGCCAATAAAAGGAGTCATTTTGCTCTTTTGCCAGTCCGATCCACGCCTCGTCTGAAGTCTTTTCCGTTAAAAAGGTGTTTTCTTCTTCCGAAGAAATCTTCACCAAGTCCGCTCCTTGAGCAACACACGAGTTGCGAGCTGAAGCGAATGTAAGGTTCTCAGACGCGATCTTATAACAGGAACCGTCGAAATATTCCCATCCTTGTGCGCATGTTTTGTGATCTGCAAATATGATAAAGATCAAAAAGAAAAGTTAGGTTACCAAAATAATGACTTACTTGTTTAAAATGTAGCACCTCAGAAGACTCGGTGGAGAGAGAAAGATACAAAAAACCCGCACGCTGCACCCTACTAGGCCCTGGGTGAAAGGAAACTTCCTTACAGGATCTAGTAAAGTTTGCGGGCCTCAAATGGTATAATAAACTGTTAGCGGCTTTTATTTAGGTTGTCACACAACGCGTGACGCAGAGCGTTGTGTGAAGCGTGACGAGATAATTAACCAATACCATAGAAACTGCTAGGAGTACTGTTTTTGAGATGTTTTGCTCTAAGACAGGGTTAGAGCATTGAACGTTTTTTTTGTTTTGTTTTGTTTTGTTTTTTTTTGCGGCGATGACAATACCATCGCTTTAACCTGTAAGATTTAAATTTGCCGACAAACTGTCGAGCCACTTGGATATTAGAATCTCATTAAATGAAACTTACTAAAACTTTGGTCTCATTTCACAAGGAAATTCTAATGTGCTGTGAAGCCAAAATACAGAAAGAACAATAGCAGAATATACGAAAAGAAATCCCTTGCAGTGTTGTAATGATGTTGTTTTACGAAATAATTTAATACAAGCACTGTCCAGTGATTGAAACGTTGTTGTGCTTAAACTCACCACTACAAACATGTAGTTTTGACATCTTCTCTTCAGTAATTTCCTCTTCCCAAACTGCTACATCTCGTATCACGCATTCAGCGTAGTCACCGCTCTCGCTTATGGATCGACCAATTGCGAATGTATTGTCAGCGTCTGTTGATGGCGCGACAATCTTGCCATATGTGTCACGCAACACATTGCATGTATCTCCGACAACAACAGCAGTTAACCCGTTCTCTTGACTCCAACTCATTGAAAATGTTTGCCAAGTGTTTTTCTGGTACGATCCGTGAACTTGCCAAAATTTCTGTCCATCTCGTACATAAAAATACATGGTAGTGCGTATGTAGAAGGCGGCCAACCCTTTTGAGGAAAGAATGTGACCTGTCTCATTTCCTGACACACTCGCTTTAAAGCTCACAGAAATTCCATTTGGACACTTTGACGGGCTGACTATGCAACTGTCTTTAAACTCTCCGAGGTCAACCCAGGAGCTTGAGCCTCCGAGAGAAAGCCCATGCGGTGTGATGCCTAGTTTGGTGGGCGCTTCTTGTGTGGTCCACGGACCGCGAATCCTTCCGACCCGAGACCCATCCCCTTGTGTGTCTTGTACGAAGATTATGGACTTGTCCAGCGGCCAGTAGTGAGAAGTACCTTTATAACACTGACCTGAGGAAAAATGAAAGTTAATGCGCTTATCTCCTTTGTTAGGTAATCACCAAATGTTACTCCTGCAGGCGAAGCGATATCGCGAAAAAGGGAGAATTGCAATTTCTGTGTACAGATATCACAGAGTTGGAAAATAAGATCATACGTTGATGTTATTTCCTGGTCCTCATTTCCTTCGCAGAGGCCGCGATCCTTTTGGTCAGCACTAAAACATCGAGACCTCTGGGAAAAATTGGAAGGTGAGCCACAATTAGTTACAGCGGTCACTCTCTGTAGTATGTTCAGACACTGTTATTGAACTTTACCACATGCGCACAATCAAACCGGAGCCAGGATTTTGTAGTTGAAGTGAAAGTCGTGACAATGTCAAATTAGAAGTCCTTGGGAGTTCAAGCGCTAAAAGAGGGACATCAAAGGATTGAAACCTTTCAAGACATTTAGTTTTACACTGTAGCAGTGATTATTGGTAGGTCGTACAGATTTTGCACAGCTTGCTTAACGAATCAGAAAAACTGGGCTTTCACGGCATGCAAATACCCCCTAAGTGGATTTACTTACTTACTTAGATACAAGAGCCACATGTACATGGTATCAGCCTATTTTCATTTCCAATAGTTTTTCGCTCTCGAGGAAAATACAACCAGCTATTACACGGGTTGCCCCCTTCGCGAGTACCCCACGGCGCGTCACTCACTCATACCCGTCCCCATGGCGGTTCGTTCAACGCGTCGACTGCTCAATAAACCGGAAGGATTGTGATGAAAATAGCGAAAATCGCCCGTGCAGCCTCAAACTCAATTTGCGAGAGATCTAGAAATGAGACATTACTTGCACTGCAGCCATACACAAAAGATTGTATGTTCCCAGTGTACTTACCTACTCGCCCACAGATCTGAAAAATGGCTGCTGAGGTCGTTGTTGAGAGGAAGGCATACTTTATTTTGACCAGCTTCTTATCTCTCCAAAACAGGTAAATCTACAGGAGCAAAGCAGAGGAAGAAAAATGGCGTAAACAGCAGAAAATCCCAACCGAGAGTAACCCCCTACGCAGACGCTCTTGGAACTCATCACGAAATCTTCCTCTCCCGCTTTCGTTTTGGATGAAGATTGCGTGACGAGCCATATGAGTATGTCTGCGTTAGGGGGCTAAACCGATAGCAGAAATTCCAGGCTCGATTGTCTTGTTTTCAGCTAGATACAGGTTTTAGATAAAATTGTCCTCTGTTCTGGGCACAGATTAGGTCCTCTAAACAGAAGGCTAACCTTCGTCAGGTGCTCCTGAAAATCAACCTACTCTGATATATATTCTCATGATGTACTTTGAGTTGGCCTTTGTACCATGGCAAAAAAGAAATTGTTTGCATACGAGCCAAGAGTTCCACTAAACCGGATATAAGCTCCAGTTTCAGTAGCATGAGGTGACTACGAGTATTTCTTCTCTTCCCTGGATGGGATGCTAATTCATCGCAAAGACACCCCCAGCATTAAATTTAAACACATGGGCGGAGCCGGAGAGAGACACTGTTAGAGTTTAAAAGTGGCTTTCCCAAGAACACAACTCAATGACCCCGACTAGGGCACTAACTACCGCTCCACTCCACTCCACTCCACTCCCCCCCTCCCCCCGTTTGTGCCGTGCTCCCTGGATATAAAGACCACCGCTTATGGTGGGTTAAATATACAATTCTGGACTTGCAAGCCGAATACTTTTATATCCTACCTTTTCTCCTGATCCAAACACCACTCGATCCTTTTCTATGTCTATCCAAAATATGCGCGTCTCGTTCTCTTTCAATGAAGGTGCAGTGACATTTGATTCCGTCAATTTTTTACTTTGTTCGCCGGCTTTTTTATGCAAGAGTATGTACCCGTTTGAGCCAATGACTATCTGATACTGAAGACTGCTGTCACGTGAACTACTCGTGAGAAGAACCGACACTTTGTCCCTGGCATTGATCATAAGAGGGAACTTGGTACTGTGTAAGCGATATCGATCCGATTTACTGTTGCTTGAAAGTTTTACAGCGTCACAAATTGTCTCTGAAATATATATTTGAAATGATGGTTAACATAATATTTCCCTGAAACTGTCGGATGAGCGCTGAGAAACTAGTTCGTTTGTTCGCGCGTTCGTTCGTTCCCTCTTTCGTCTGCTCGTTCGTCCTTTCGCTCACTCATTTATTTATTATTTTCCGTTCGTCTATTCGCTTGCTCTTTCATTTATCTCCTCTTCCTCAATCACCTAGTTTCTTCGATTTTTGCTTCATTGAATTGCCTTTACTTATCTAACAATAACTTACTTTGTTTGCACATCTCATTATAAAACTCGATTTCTTTTATTCCGACTCCACCGCTGCCGTCATACACCTTTTTCACGGTTAATCTGACCCAATTCGCCCTGCGAGACAGGAAGGTAAACTCCTCAAAATCGGTCTTGTTCCCAGCCAGCGTAATCTTCAAAAACAACGGAAAAGAAAGCCAGTTACAACAAGAATTTACTAATATGTTCATCAACTATTAGCCGTAATTAATTTAAACCGGCACCATCTCTCAATCAAGATGTAATTATACGTAATTAACCGCAATCGTTTCCGTGCCTACAAAGTAAAAATATTTGTTCCGCATGATTTTTAGGATTTTATGTCCTTATTGCTAAATAAATGACATTCTTGCTTGTTGAAGAAAACCTATACACTATCAGGACACATTTCGGTGAGAGGTGGTTCTGGGGAAGGCAGACTTTTGTTCTTACTTCCACCCTCAACCAATTCTTAAAACTTACGGCTACCAATTCTGCACCAGAGTATTGAGAGATTCTCCATCTTGACAGTGAAGTTATACTAGACCCATTCTTTTTCCTAAACGTCTACGTTAGTTTACAAAGAGTAAACAAACACTGCGAGCAAGGAACACTCTTTCGAACTCTTGATAAACTGCAGCTCTGTTGCTCACCTTTTCCGTTGAGCAGTCACTGAAATCCAGCAAAATCTCTTGGATTTGTTGTCCCGAAGCCGTTTTCTGCATAATTCGTAACTTGTTGATAATGAAAGTGGTGTGAAAGCCGATTGTTATGAATGCGTTGACGCCTTCGTTCGTTGCCGACTCCCAGCCCACTGTAACTGTCCCATCAAGAACGTATTGGCAGTCGTTCGGCGCACCACTACTTGAGGATTGGTTCAGACAGCTGCCTCCATACGTTTGAGAAGCGACATTGAACGGAGTGCAGGTTGTGGAATCTGTGAAAAACGATAAATAAATAATTGAATGAGTTCATAAGTAATCAACTAATCGATAATCGGTTGGGTCAACTTTCTTCAAACAGTGTTACGACTGCATGTCAAACTTATGGCTCCCACGAATAGATTTCAGACCACATTAGAATTTAGAAGTGTTGGGTTTTGAAGAGGAGGAAAAACTGACTGAAAAAGCCAAAAAAACAAAACTGTTAGAGGAAACCATACGTGATGATGCAAACAGTAGCAGCGAAAGAGGACCCCCCTCAAAGAACCGTTGAGATCCTGACGGGGAGGGCGGGGGGGGGGGGGTGAAGAGAGAAAAACGTGACATAAAGATAAAAGGGTGACATGACTGACTTAGCTGTATCACCTTCTGGTACGTATGAACAACTGATTGGAATACTCGATGACAATTCAGCGGGACCTTGCCCACTGTCTTTCCGAAGTTCGTCTTTCCACGCCATCACCTGCTGTCCTTTGTACCCAATAACTGCGTGAGAGGTCTGGTGCGCAACGTTCTCAGCATCCTTTGCACCGACTGCCGTCAGATTGCTGATGGGAAGTTTGTGGTTACCGGCCAAAGCCGAGTCCTGAACTGCTAACAGCACTATGACGTCCTGGGGAAGGCCTTGCAGGAAGTCGCCCAACTCATCGCATTTTGCCTGGCTATCCGCACAATCAAACGCATTTGAAGTGAGGAAACGACCTGAAGAGAAGAAACGAGAAGCTTAACTTACTTAAAAATCAGTGACAAGTCGAAGGGAGCCTTCCTCACCCCTCTCGGCCCTAGTTTCTTACCAGTTTTTTGAACAGGCAAGATCCACTTTCCAGAAAAAGCCTATCTTCACTAATCCACTTCGCATCTGTGTGCGCCTTCATTTCCTTGGCTGCATACTAATTAATCTTACTTACGTTGAATTCCCCTACTCCACAGAGAGATCAACATGGCTAGGAATTAATACCGTCCTTGGCATCTAAGAGTGAATGCGTCTCGATAAAACAATGCGTGATTCCTCAGATCATCACTTATTTCACGTTTTGCAGATCGTACTGAAACCTTCGCGCCAAAAATGTAAGGTTCCATTGAGAAGTCAAAATGTTTTCCACAAAATAGGTACAGAGGATTCCCTTGTCTATGAAACGCCTTGATTGTTTGAAGTGTAGCCCATACCCGTTGCAAACCTTTTTAGAACGCGACCGTTTGCGTAACTGGTCTGCCGAACTTCCAGTGATTGATGAAGAATCATCAAACGTTTTATACCCATTCAGATCACGTGGTCATGTTCACGTGTTCACGCTTAGGTGCCAACGATAGTAGATCGATGATGAGAGAAAATACGAAAAGAGAGGTGAACATGTCCATAAGTAATCAATGTTCATGCAATCGAGTATTCTATGCAAAGCTACCTGAAAGGGCATCAAAAACCACAACATTATAGCCTTTGGTCTGTGGAGCATAGTTTTTGTCGTTGACCGAGATGGTAGCTAAGCCACTGCCAACTATGCCTGTGTCATTGCTCGCTTCGGAACGCACGGTGACATTGAGGAGGGAGATCACTCCTAGAGACAAAGAAACAAGAAGCAGTCAGTTGGTAAAGAAATAGTGAGTTAATGGAGAAACGGAGTATTTCGTTTGCTTCTTGACTGCGAGAGGTAGTTCAAAACTGTTAGCAGTTTTCAATTAAGTGTCGTATAACCAAAAACCAAACCAATACCTTACCAATTAGACTACTCAGCCAATGGCAAATCGTAATAAAGCCAAAACCAAAGTATTTGCCTGATTACTCTCGACACTCAATTAAAAACCGTTCTAACATGCCATTGTCCGATGCAACAAAACAATTCTCTAATGTCTTGTCTCTTGAGGCAGATTCCACGGCTTAAACTCGTTTCAATGTAACACTGAAGGGTCTGAACGATAACATGGAGAGACCTGGAAACGAGCATTGTTTTGATGAGACGAATTAAAAACTTGAACGAGAGTATCGCCCGGATATTTCATTCGGTCGTTTTTTTCCTTTCCGTGTAATTACGTTGTCTTCACTATATAAAGTAATCCTGGTAATTTGACATTAGATTCTGGGTGCATTCCTTTGGGGTAATCTGGATCAGGATCGGTGATCCAAGATCACTCGGATCACAGTGAATCAGAGAAACCGGTGAATCCAATCTGGGTATGGATTCATCGGTTTCTTTGGTGAACCATGATCCAAGTGATCTTGTATCATTTATTCTGATCCAGGTCACTCCAAAGTAACGCACCCTCTATTTCGGCGTTTACTAAAAAGATCAATAAAGTGGCGAAACTTGAGGGGATCGAGTTTTTGTCTGTTTGTTTGTTTCTTTGTCTGTTTACTTGCTTCCTTGCCTTCCTGCGTGCGTGCGTTTGCTCGTCTCTCATACTTTATAACTCGTATTACAGGTGGCTGATTTCGACCTGACATCTTTAATTTCTCATCCTTTTACATATTTAACTTCACTCTTTTTTTTTAATGCCAAATAAAATTAAGTTTTGGTAAGACTACATTCGGCAAATCTCCATATCTATCGTCTTTGTCAGTCTAATTACACGCAACTTAAGGTTACCGTATACCTTCAGGGGTGTCTCACGTCCAAGCGATGTAGCGCGTCCGGTTAAAGCTGTAGATACCTAAACCCCTATATCAAATTAAAGCTTATAGAGCTGGCTATCAAACCGTACCAAAAGTTTTGAAATAAAATGAACTGCCGATTTTTTCACGGCCACTAAATGCGAGCGTCCTTATCACCTTTTGGAAGCTACAAGTCAAAGCGAATTTGTTTTTCGCCAATTTACTTTTTCCTCGGTTTCAGGGCAAAAAGCGCTAAAAAACCGTGTCTGCGTTTTGCCACATTCAATTGCAGTAAAAAGTTACAGAACATTTTCGAAAAAGGATTTAAAAAATGTGAAGTGATCGTACAAAAATTGCTCTCGGAGAAAAAGTATTTCAAAATAAACAAGTCGCAGACAGGTTTTTGTTTTTTATAAGTTAATGTAGCTACTGTCCATATCTGAGGGCAATCAAACAAACCTCTTTGAGTTGTAACTCTTTAAANTGGCGGTTCGTTCAACGCGTCGACTGCTCAATAAACCGGAAGGATTGTGATGAAAATAGCGAAAATCGCCCGTGCAGCCTCAAACTCAATTTGCGAGAGATCTAGAAATGAGACATTACTTGCACTGCAGCCATACACAAAAGATTGTATGTTCCCAGTGTACTTACCTACTCGCCCACAGATCTGAAAAATGGCTGCTGAGGTCGTTGTTGAGAGGAAGGCATACTTTATTTTGACCAGCTTCTTATCTCTCCAAAACAGGTAAATCTACAGGAGCAAAGCAGAGGAAGAAAAATGGCGTAAACAGCAGAAAATCCCAACCGAGAGTAACCCCCTACGCAGACGCTCTTGGAACTCATCACGAAATCTTCCTCTCCCGCTTTCGTTTTGGATGAAGATTGCGTGACGAGCCATATGAGTATGTCTGCGTTAGGGGGCTAAACCGATAGCAGAAATTCCAGGCTCGATTGTCTTGTTTTCAGCTAGATACAGGTTTTAGATAAAATTGTCCTCTGTTCTGGGCACAGATTAGGTCCTCTAAACAGAAGGCTAACCTTCGTCAGGTGCTCCTGAAAATCAACCTACTCTGATATATATTCTCATGATGTACTTTGAGTTGGCCTTTGTACCATGGCAAAAAAGAAATTGTTTGCATACGAGCCAAGAGTTCCACTAAACCGGATATAAGCTCCAGTTTCAGTAGCATGAGGTGACTACGAGTATTTCTTCTCTTCCCTGGATGGGATGCTAATTCATCGCAAAGACACCCCCAGCATTAAATTTAAACACATGGGCGGAGCCGGAGAGAGACACTGTTAGAGTTTAAAAGTGGCTTTCCCAAGAACACAACTCAATGACCCCGACTAGGGCACTAACTACCGCTCCACTCCACTCCACTCCACTCCCCCCCTCCCCCCGTTTGTGCCGTGCTCCCTGGATATAAAGACCACCGCTTATGGTGGGTTAAATATACAATTCTGGACTTGCAAGCCGAATACTTTTATATCCTACCTTTTCTCCTGATCCAAACACCACTCGATCCTTTTCTATGTCTATCCAAAATATGCGCGTCTCGTTCTCTTTCAATGAAGGTGCAGTGACATTTGATTCCGTCAATTTTTTACTTTGTTCGCCGGCTTTTTTATGCAAGAGTATGTACCCGTTTGAGCCAATGACTATCTGATACTGAAGACTGCTGTCACGTGAACTACTCGTGAGAAGAACCGACACTTTGTCCCTGGCATTGATCATAAGAGGGAACTTGGTACTGTGTAAGCGATATCGATCCGATTTACTGTTGCTTGAAAGTTTTACAGCGTCACAAATTGTCTCTGAAATATATATTTGAAATGATGGTTAACATAATATTTCCCTGAAACTGTCGGATGAGCGCTGAGAAACTAGTTCGTTTGTTCGCGCGTTCGTTCGTTCCCTCTTTCGTCTGCTCGTTCGTCCTTTCGCTCACTCATTTATTTATTATTTTCCGTTCGTCTATTCGCTTGCTCTTTCATTTATCTCCTCTTCCTCAATCACCTAGTTTCTTCGATTTTTGCTTCATTGAATTGCCTTTACTTATCTAACAATAACTTACTTTGTTTGCACATCTCATTATAAAACTCGATTTCTTTTATTCCGACTCCACCGCTGCCGTCATACACCTTTTTCACGGTTAATCTGACCCAATTCGCCCTGCGAGACAGGAAGGTAAACTCCTCAAAATCGGTCTTGTTCCCAGCCAGCGTAATCTTCAAAAACAACGGAAAAGAAAGCCAGTTACAACAAGAATTTACTAATATGTTCATCAACTATTAGCCGTAATTAATTTAAACCGGCACCATCTCTCAATCAAGATGTAATTATACGTAATTAACCGCAATCGTTTCCGTGCCTACAAAGTAAAAATATTTGTTCCGCATGATTTTTAGGATTTTATGTCCTTATTGCTAAATAAATGACATTCTTGCTTGTTGAAGAAAACCTATACACTATCAGGACACATTTCGGTGAGAGGTGGTTCTGGGGAAGGCAGACTTTTGTTCTTACTTCCACCCTCAACCAATTCTTAAAACTTACGGCTACCAATTCTGCACCAGAGTATTGAGAGATTCTCCATCTTGACAGTGAAGTTATACTAGACCCATTCTTTTTCCTAAACGTCTACGTTAGTTTACAAAGAGTAAACAAACACTGCGAGCAAGGAACACTCTTTCGAACTCTTGATAAACTGCAGCTCTGTTGCTCACCTTTTCCGTTGAGCAGTCACTGAAATCCAGCAAAATCTCTTGGATTTGTTGTCCCGAAGCCGTTTTCTGCATAATTCGTAACTTGTTGATAATGAAAGTGGTGTGAAAGCCGATTGTTATGAATGCGTTGACGCCTTCGTTCGTTGCCGACTCCCAGCCCACTGTAACTGTCCCATCAAGAACGTATTGGCAGTCGTTCGGCGCACCACTACTTGAGGATTGGTTCAGACAGCTGCCTCCATACGTTTGAGAAGCGACATTGAACGGAGTGCAGGTTGTGGAATCTGTGAAAAACGATAAATAAATAATTGAATGAGTTCATAAGTAATCAACTAATCGATAATCGGTTGGGTCAACTTTCTTCAAACAGTGTTACGACTGCATGTCAAACTTATGGCTCCCACGAATAGATTTCAGACCACATTAGAATTTAGAAGTGTTGGGTTTTGAAGAGGAGGAAAAACTGACTGAAAAAGCCAAAAAAACAAAACTGTTAGAGGAAACCATACGTGATGATGCAAACAGTAGCAGCGAAAGAGGACCCCCCTCAAAGAACCGTTGAGATCCTGACGGGGAGGGCGGGGGGGGGGGGGTGAAGAGAGAAAAACGTGACATAAAGATAAAAGGGTGACATGACTGACTTAGCTGTATCACCTTCTGGTACGTATGAACAACTGATTGGAATACTCGATGACAATTCAGCGGGACCTTGCCCACTGTCTTTCCGAAGTTCGTCTTTCCACGCCATCACCTGCTGTCCTTTGTACCCAATAACTGCGTGAGAGGTCTGGTGCGCAACGTTCTCAGCATCCTTTGCACCGACTGCCGTCAGATTGCTGATGGGAAGTTTGTGGTTACCGGCCAAAGCCGAGTCCTGAACTGCTAACAGCACTATGACGTCCTGGGGAAGGCCTTGCAGGAAGTCGCCCAACTCATCGCATTTTGCCTGGCTATCCGCACAATCAAACGCATTTGAAGTGAGGAAACGACCTGAAGAGAAGAAACGAGAAGCTTAACTTACTTAAAAATCAGTGACAAGTCGAAGGGAGCCTTCCTCACCCCTCTCGGCCCTAGTTTCTTACCAGTTTTTTGAACAGGCAAGATCCACTTTCCAGAAAAAGCCTATCTTCACTAATCCACTTCGCATCTGTGTGCGCCTTCATTTCCTTGGCTGCATACTAATTAATCTTACTTACGTTGAATTCCCCTACTCCACAGAGAGATCAACATGGCTAGGAATTAATACCGTCCTTGGCATCTAAGAGTGAATGCGTCTCGATAAAACAATGCGTGATTCCTCAGATCATCACTTATTTCACGTTTTGCAGATCGTACTGAAACCTTCGCGCCAAAAATGTAAGGTTCCATTGAGAAGTCAAAATGTTTTCCACAAAATAGGTACAGAGGATTCCCTTGTCTATGAAACGCCTTGATTGTTTGAAGTGTAGCCCATACCCGTTGCAAACCTTTTTAGAACGCGACCGTTTGCGTAACTGGTCTGCCGAACTTCCAGTGATTGATGAAGAATCATCAAACGTTTTATACCCATTCAGATCACGTGGTCATGTTCACGTGTTCACGCTTAGGTGCCAACGATAGTAGATCGATGATGAGAGAAAATACGAAAAGAGAGGTGAACATGTCCATAAGTAATCAATGTTCATGCAATCGAGTATTCTATGCAAAGCTACCTGAAAGGGCATCAAAAACCACAACATTATAGCCTTTGGTCTGTGGAGCATAGTTTTTGTCGTTGACCGAGATGGTAGCTAAGCCACTGCCAACTATGCCTGTGTCATTGCTCGCTTCGGAACGCACGGTGACATTGAGGAGGGAGATCACTCCTAGAGACAAAGAAACAAGAAGCAGTCAGTTGGTAAAGAAATAGTGAGTTAATGGAGAAACGGAGTATTTCGTTTGCTTCTTGACTGCGAGAGGTAGTTCAAAACTGTTAGCAGTTTTCAATTAAGTGTCGTATAACCAAAAACCAAACCAATACCTTACCAATTAGACTACTCAGCCAATGGCAAATCGTAATAAAGCCAAAACCAAAGTATTTGCCTGATTACTCTCGACACTCAATTAAAAACCGTTCTAACATGCCATTGTCCGATGCAACAAAACAATTCTCTAATGTCTTGTCTCTTGAGGCAGATTCCACGGCTTAAACTCGTTTCAATGTAACACTGAAGGGTCTGAACGATAACATGGAGAGACCTGGAAACGAGCATTGTTTTGATGAGACGAATTAAAAACTTGAACGAGAGTATCGCCCGGATATTTCATTCGGTCGTTTTTTTCCTTTCCGTGTAATTACGTTGTCTTCACTATATAAAGTAATCCTGGTAATTTGACATTAGATTCTGGGTGCATTCCTTTGGGGTAATCTGGATCAGGATCGGTGATCCAAGATCACTCGGATCACAGTGAATCAGAGAAACCGGTGAATCCAATCTGGGTATGGATTCATCGGTTTCTTTGGTGAACCATGATCCAAGTGATCTTGTATCATTTATTCTGATCCAGGTCACTCCAAAGTAACGCACCCTCTATTTCGGCGTTTACTAAAAAGATCAATAAAGTGGCGAAACTTGAGGGGATCGAGTTTTTGTCTGTTTGTTTGTTTCTTTGTCTGTTTACTTGCTTCCTTGCCTTCCTGCGTGCGTGCGTTTGCTCGTCTCTCATACTTTATAACTCGTATTACAGGTGGCTGATTTCGACCTGACATCTTTAATTTCTCATCCTTTTACATATTTAACTTCACTCTTTTTTTTTAATGCCAAATAAAATTAAGTTTTGGTAAGACTACATTCGGCAAATCTCCATATCTATCGTCTTTGTCAGTCTAATTACACGCAACTTAAGGTTACCGTATACCTTCAGGGGTGTCTCACGTCCAAGCGATGTAGCGCGTCCGGTTAAAGCTGTAGATACCTAAACCCCTATATCAAATTAAAGCTTATAGAGCTGGCTATCAAACCGTACCAAAAGTTTTGAAATAAAATGAACTGCCGATTTTTTCACGGCCACTAAATGCGAGCGTCCTTATCACCTTTTGGAAGCTACAAGTCAAAGCGAATTTGTTTTTCGCCAATTTACTTTTTCCTCGGTTTCAGGGCAAAAAGCGCTAAAAAACCGTGTCTGCGTTTTGCCACATTCAATTGCAGTAAAAAGTTACAGAACATTTTCGAAAAAGGATTTAAAAAATGTGAAGTGATCGTACAAAAATTGCTCTCGGAGAAAAAGTATTTCAAAATAAACAAGTCGCAGACAGGTTTTTGTTTTTTATAAGTTAATGTAGCTACTGTCCATATCTGAGGGCAATCAAACAAACCTCTTTGAGTTGTAACTCTTTAAAGTGTCTGCTTCAAGCGAAAAAATTTATTCGAGAAAACAGCGCTAAGAAAAATCTCTTGCTTCGCAAACAAACTCCGC